ACTATTCTAGAAGCACTCCCAAATGGGTCTTAATATGGGTAAACAAAAGTTAATTTTTTTTAAATGTACTACCCTCTCCTCACGGGCTTCCGCTCCTGCAAAAGGCTTTTTAAAAAAAAAGAATTTAATTAATTTTAGAATTAAAAAAAATAATTTGTAGTTATGGTCCATAAAAATATGACATATTATCTATTTGTTTTAATATGAAAAAATAAGTGAATTTACCAAATTATTCTCATTTAATTAATAATTTCAATTCTTAATGTTTGAATTAACAAAGAGCATTTTCTGGTATTTTGAATGTTTCACTATTCTCTACCTTTTGCTTTATATATATAGATTAAAGACATTTTTATATATACAAGCAATAGTTACGGAAAAATAGTTCAAACTTAATTTAATAAAAATTGACCTAATTCACGTCTATATAAAGATATTATTTTATTTAAATGTGAAAAAAGTAACACATCATGAGGAAGTGGAGAAGGTGCTATGTATTCCTTTCAACATAGAAGTGAGCAAATAAAAGACATATGGGGATTTGTATACTACAAGATTTAGCATAAAATTGAGCTGGCTTTGCTCTTTCTTCATGCAATATTAATTGCAGACATTGATGGCTGCTAATATTTGTTTTAATCTATTCCACAATACCGGCCTCTGTGTGTTGGGATTTGGTAAAGCAAAGCAATGGATTAATACATAACATCTTTTGAAAATGAGTCAAATAACCATTAAAGTCAATCTATAATTAAAGAAATTCAACCGTTTTGAAGTCATTAAAGGGAGTTATGTGTAATCTCCTTTTGAATGTCTACCAAGGAGTGTAAATAACACGGCGGTTGTTATCTACACTCCTTTATGAGAGTGCACGAATACAAGTGAAGAGCCAAAATAACATTTCATGTAATTTTCTTTTCACGTCATTTAAATGACAGTGTTATTTATATTCTTTCATAAGAGCATATTTTCATGGGTGTGAAGCCACTTCTCTTTATGAGAAATTATAGAATGGTATGATATCACCACGTCAGTTGGTGATACTTCCATTCAAAATTCGCCACATGTATTATTTTTTGACAACTGGATTCAACACTCATATTTACTTTTAAAATAAAATTAAAATGATTTTTAAAAAACTTTAGAAATAAAAAAAAACCCAAAAACCACCCGCTTCATCCACAGTGATCCCCCACCACTATCTTCCATGACTACTGCCTCATTCTCTGTGTGAATTTGAGGACACCCCAACACATGGATAATTCCACTTTCACAATCATTAGAAAAAAAAATTGATTCGGCTATTGATACATAGAAAGGTATGCAACCAAGATTGGATTCTAATTCACCTTCTATAAAATTTGCTTTTCTTGTTGATAATCTCAATGGCGATCAAATTCCTCAAAAAATTTTAAACTTCTTGACCTTCGCATATGAAATTAAATAATTTCTCGAAGACTATAAACCCACCCTGAACAAATCTTCAATTTAAATTTCTTGAACCTTAAAGCCATCATAGAGAGAAAATTCCATGAACCTTAAATCCATAATAGAGAGGAGGGATGGAGAGGCAGAAAGAGAGAGAGATTGGAAAAATGAAAGAAAGACAAGAGCCTTGGCAGAAAGTGGGCAGGCAGAGGCTTGGTCGGCGAGCTCGGGAAGTGGTTGTTGGAATTTTTATTATTAATGAGTTTTTTCATTTTAGTTTTATTTTTATGGTTTTAAATTATAAAATTAGATTTTTAAATCCAGCTATATAAATAATTAATTTTTATTTAAAAAATAATACACATAGCGCATTTTGAATGGAAGTATCACCAAATGACGTGGTGATACCGTATCATTTTATAATTTATCCACTTTTATATCTCCTTTACACCTCCAGGGGTTGTAAATGTGATTTTTGCTATAATGAGGAATATGTAAATCTAAATATGTATAATTGATTTTGCTCACTTTTGTCCACATTTTCTTACTTTTTCTTATGTAGGTCTCACCTGCAAGGGATGTAAAAAAGAATGCAAATGTGCATCTAAATTTGCATCTTAAGGTTGTAATGTAAATTTACAATCGTTTACACATCCCCATTGCATGTGATTGCGATTACAAATGGTATATATTTAACATACACCTCATTATATAACCCACCATCGGAGATGCTCTAAGATTGTACGAATACAAGTGAATAGCGCAAATGAAGCTTCCTCCTATAACTCAAAGGCGATAGTACTGTATTGAAAAATAGGGATGCAACAGGTAATCCAATACTATCGCCTTTGTATCAAAACTTACCCCATATCACTAAAAACAAAAAAGAGAGAGAAAAAAAGGGAAAGAATCATTTCACACACCCACTGTTTCTGTACATGCACAGAAGCATCAAACAAGCTTAAAAACCCTCAAACGGAACTCCAAACTTCACCAACTCATATACACACCTACCTAGTAGTGAGAATTGTCTCAAAAATTCAATGTCTCCCCTCTTTTCACTCTTCCTCCTCCACATAATAGTCAGCGCTGCCGGTGCACAACTCCGGCCTCATTACTACTCAGAATCGTGCCCAAAAGCCGAAGCTGTGGTCCGACATGTCATGAAGAAGGCTCTGATCCGAGAGCCCCGGAGCCTTGCTTCTGTCATGCGCTTCCAATTCCATGATTGCTTTGTTAATGTAAGTGAACTATATATAAAAATTACAATCCTGCGTTTTCTTATAAGCTGTTCTTCAACAACTAATTAATTGGTTCCCTCTTTGGTAAAAAAAAATCTATAGGGTTGTGATGCTTCATTGTTGCTTGATGACACACCAACAATGCTTGGGGAAAAACTCGCCCTTGCAAACATAAATTCACTGAGATCTTATGAGGTTGTTGATGAAGTCAAGGAAGCCTTGGAGAAGGTCTGCCCTGGGATTGTCTCTTGTGCAGATATCATCATCATGGCCTCTAAAGATGCTGTTGCATTGGTATGAAACTCTCTTCTCTATACTTCCATCTTCTTTTAGTGGAATTTCTCTTCCTAATATTCGAAGAGATCCGAATTCGAACCCCCCCTCTATTGATATAAAATCAACAACAAAAAAAGTGATGAATAATCAACATGGGCTTGGTTTGAGTGCAAAGTGTATAATTCTTTGCTGTTTATGGTTTTTCCATAATTAAAAAAATTAGTGTTAATCAGACAGGAGGACCTGATTGGGAAGTGAAGTTAGGCAGATTGGATAGCTTAAGCGCCAGCCAAGAAGCCTCAGACAACGTTATGCCAAGTCCAAGAGCCAACGCAAGCTTCCTCATTGACCTGTTTGGCAAATTCAATCTGTCTGTCAAAGACCTTGTTGCCCTTTCTGGTTCACATTCCATCGGCCAAGCTCGATGCTTCTCCATCATGTTCAGGCTGTACAACCAATCCGGCACCGGCCGGCCAGACCCTGTCTTTGATCCAAAGTTTAGAGGAAAGCTAAACAAGCTCTGCCCTTTGAATGTGGATCAAAACGTGACCGGAGACCTTGACGCTACACCGGTAGTGTTCGATAACCAGTACTTCAAGGACTTGGTTGCAGGGAGAGGGTTTCTGAATTCAGATCAAACACTTTTCACATTTCCAGAGACTAGGGCATTTGTTCAACTGTTTAGCAGGGACCAACATGAGTTTTTCAAGGCCTTTGTTGAGGGGATGATAAAGATGGGTGACTTGCAGGTTGAGCAGCAAGGTGAGGTGAGAAGAAATTGCAGGGTGGTTAACAGTCGTCATCCTGTAACCCCACGTACCTGTCTTTGAGAGGGCATGGTGATGTTAGAATAAACACCCATCATTGGAATTGACTATATTTTATCTTTATCGTCACTTTTTTTTTTTTTCTTCTTTTTTTTTGGCTGGTTTTTAATGGAATCCTTAAAACTTTTTTGTTTTTGCTAATCAGGCCCAATCCATCTAATATTCTGTACTCTTGGTTTATTGTTCATGCCGGCTTTTCAAAAGGTTAATTCCAATACCAATGCGTTCATCTAAAATTCAAACCAATGTTCCTTAATTGAATTTTCAACATTGCGCTCGCGTCATTCAGCATGGAATTACGAAGTTTCCGAGTCTCTATATTTAGCATCGTTGCATTTATTAACCTCAAACTCACTCACCATTTGCACCTTAGCCAATACTTATGAAATAAATTAAAAAATTAAAAAAAAAGTTCCAACAAGCAACAACTACCTCCCTCCCGATCCAGCCCCCTCACAGCCAGCCATGGCCGCCGCTCACTTGGTCCTATAATTGGTAGGCATATATAAGATGTCAATTGCAGTACTTGTGGCGAATAATTCGTGATCAAGATTTGATAAAATTATTCCCTAGTTGTAGAACTGGATTATCACTCGAGGGTGGTTCTGGAGTTAGGAGAGATTCCTAACGATGAAGGACTTCAATCCGTAGGCCTTGTTGAGAGTCAGTCATCAAAAATTAAGAGAGAGATAGAACCATGGGTGGCTGTCAGTGGGGTTGGTAAGGGGCCTGGGTCGGGAGGGGTGTTCATGTTTGATGAGACATTTTTTATTTATTTATATTACAAAAGTTGGATGCAAAGAGTAAGGTACAAATTGTGAGTTTTATTTATGTTAGTACAATTATGCTAATGTGGACTTAATAAAATTCATTAGATTAATCTAATAGCTAGCATTAGTTTAAATGCGTAAAAATGCACTGATGCTAAATGCAAAGATAGGTTTTCAAGATGGTATAGTATGCTATAAATTTAGGCTTCTCTCGTCATACGAAATTGAGAATAAGTGAGAATTGCAGAACAGGGAGAGAGGGAGAAGGTATACCACCAAAATAAATTCCAACATTAAAAGCGCAATCAAAATTTGAAATGTCAACCACTCAACATGTTCGACATCCATAATAAAATCATGACAGCTCAATGTAAGCAATCAAAAATACATTAAACTATCTATGATGCTCATTTGCTCACTAACTCATTGACTAAAAGAACAAAATTTGTTCCAGAGACCTAAGCAGCAGATGGCTTAGACGCACCAGAAAGTCTCGATCTCCTCTTGGCTAAACTCTCACTGCGTCGATCACGCTGCTCCTTCAACCGGGAAGCAAGGAGCTTTTGATACTCTGCTGCCTCAGACTTCGCCTTTGCAACTCTCTTCTTCTTCTCTGCGATCCTTGCTCGCTTCCTCTGTAAAGTCAATGGAGTAACCAGTCTCTGAATTTTGGGAGCTTTGCTGCACTTTTTGCCTGCAAACCATTAAATTGGGTATTTTATCTCAATGGTCGAGACTCACAACAAACTTAAATGGAAATTTCATCACCGCGTGGTGACTAATATTCTAGCAGAGTATCTTTTTCATATTTCTGTTGTGTGAAAACAAAATTTAAAGACTGAAAATATAACCCACCAGTTTTGCTTGTAAATGTTCTGCGGTAGGTGTTGACATACTTCCTCACATCATCATCCTTGGTGAGGTTAAATAGTTTCCGGATCTTTGATGCCCTTTTTGGACCTCTCATTCTTGGCTTTTCAACATCAGTAAGTCCAGGAAGGTCATTGTCACCTTTCTTAACAATAACCAAGTTCAATACAGACAGGTCTGGACTGACAATACATCCACGAACAGACTTCCTTCTTCGCTCTCCATTCCTCCTTCCATATCCACGGAAGCACGGGGTACCTAAATAAACAATATGCACCAATCAGTTTCATCGCCCAAAAGTGTTGAGCCGAGAGAAAACTAATATTAGGTACTACAACAGGAACTCAAAATCAAATGCCGCTATCTCTCAGACACAAATTGATACATTATAACATACCTCTATGGAGCAAAAGGCGAACACGGCCTGGGGTTAACACTCCTTGCTTCATAGGAAAGCCTTGCTTGTCACAGCCTCCCATAATTTTAAATACATAGCCCTTGAACTCCTGTAAAAGAAGGAAAAAAACTGTAATGAGTACTCTAGTGTAAGATGACTAAAATCAAATCTCGCAAACGGTAAATACCTCGCCCAGGGCATCACCATTGACTTCTTGAGAGATCCTCTTGTCCCAGAATGCACGGCTGCATGTCAAAGAGTTTAGTGGTCATAATCTAAGATACATTAAATAAAACATTGTTTAGGATACAATCTGTTAATAGAAAGAAAAAAAAAACTGAGTGCAAGATATGTCAAGCTAAAGTCTAGAATGAAATTGGTAAAACCACAAATAAAAACATGTGAGCATAATTAACAATACACAATGTGTCTGTCACTGGAAAATGTACTTCCAGCAACTATAAAACACTTTGAAGTCAATTCGCTCTTTATAATCCAAGAGTATTCTTAATTTCCTTGGTATTTACGAAGTACACATACATCAGATATAAAAAAATAAAAATAAAAAAGAATCATATGGCATCACCACAGTACACAAATATTTCTTGAAAAACCTAGTCAATAAGCAAAAGGTAAAATGCACATTCAGAACAAGTTCTGACACAGAGCTGGAATTCCATAAAGAAATACACTGCAGGGCAATCCTTCTACTTATCCATAAGCACATAGTGCAAAAAGTAAACCTTAATAGAAGGCTACATACAAACTAAAATGAATAAAAGAATTGTTACCACAAGTTTACTCATGAGCATGACAATTTGAAGTAAAAATTTCAAATCATTCACTCCATTTGTAATCTTTATTCTCATAAAATGCATCCAAAATTTTCCATCGTTTTCTAAAATACTCAATTCATTTTGTGTAATTGTGGAAATACCAAAAGAAATTCTTTTTTCATCAAGTCATGAAATAAACCCAGAAGGCAATTCTATTTCTCACCGACCTCCTAGTCATCAGATAGATAAAATGATCGTTACTCATACAAAGTAGATGCAAATCATGCCGCCTACATCAATCCACTACATTGCTAACCAAACATACACCTAACTTGAAAAACAAAACTTCTCCAATCTCCTTAAGATGAAATGATTGCTATAATCGATAAACTCACAACCCTAAACTCAAAATTCCAGTTTTCGTTTTCTTCTAATAATTTCTCAGCAACCAAACAGACCTCAAGTTCATAAGATCGATCCAAATCTATCAACCTCTATTGCCTAACAAATGCTGATACTATCCTTTCCCGAAAGTAAGCAAAACACGAAATGGAGGAGAATTAGAGGTAGGGTTTTCGTACAGTTTAGCGTCATCGTCGATCTCGAGCTTCTTCTGGCACCCAGTGGTGGGATTCGCAATGTTAAACTGAAACAACAGAAAGCTGATCGGTGAAAGACTGAAAGGCATTAGAATTGGGGATCGGAGAAAATAAGACGGATATACAAACCTTCATGTTTGGTCCGCTGCCACGGCCGAGATGAGAGAAATGGTCCTCTTGCTAAACCACTCGAATTCAAGGAGCTCCTGGCAGCTTCTTAGGGTTTTGGGGAAGAACCTGAGAGGAATTTATATATAGACGAGGCAGATGGGACGCGGAATTGCGACCCAAGCTTGGGAGATTGTGAGTTGAAACTTGAAAACGTGGATGAGTTCATTGGGCCCAAGCTCCTTAGAGGAGTACTGGGCTGGGCTTCCAGTTTTTATTATAGAAAATTAAGATTTTTCTCCTTTCAATCCAGCATATATATTTCTGTGGGCTAACTGGACTTCAATTAAACAATTTTTTTTCTCTCTTAAGGCCTTCTCCAACCCATTTGAGGCAAAATTCAAATTTTTCCCCTCCAAAAAATAACTATTTGAGTTTTGCCCGGATTCAAACCGTTTTTCCCCCAACTCTTCATACTCAAATTTTAAGTCCGCAACTTTATTAAATTGTTTAAGAATGGTTTAAGTCTAATTTTTTTTAATGGATAATTTTTCGTCATTTAATCTTTTTAAATAACTTCACAATTTATTTATTTATTTTTGAACAATTTATATTCCACAAATATAATTTTTGGTAGATTATTTATGAAATGGGCAGGTATTTATAGCATTTGGAGTGAGTTTTAGGTTGGATCTTATTTAAATTAATTTAAAATACTATTTTGACCTTTGGATCTTTATTTTACCGTTAAAATAGTTTGGATTTAATCTAAATCGTTGATTTGGGTTACTAATGGAATAAAATATATATATTTAAAAAAGGGTTGTTTGAATTGTGATGTTGGATTCCAATGACTACATCACAAGCGCGGGACACATGGCGTGAGAAGGTCTACAACAGTAGCAGCGCGGGCCCCTTTCACAGCTACTTTGCACATGACTTGCGTCAGTTTTTAGTCGGCTCCACCAAAAAAAATTCCAGTTGATGCAATAGCTGGATTGGTATTTGGCCTCAAGTTTGGGTTTTCTCAAATTTTGGCCTCTTAATTTTCTTGAGTTGAGAGGAAAATTATGCTAAAACTTGGGATATTTTGAGTTTGGCCTCATGAGTTAGAGATAGCCTAATAACTCAACCCAAGAAAAAACTCGAGTTTTCACCCGACTCTGAAGCACATTGATATGCACTACGACTGAACATGTGATGTGTTATATTCCAAAAAAAACTACACCTTGAGAACATTCATATTGATAACAACAATTCGGATATAGTGACAGTCTTTACCAAACGACAGAGCACGAGCTATACATAATGGCAACATGCATGATACCTAAGTCGGGAGGGGGAGACATAGGCTTTCCTTGCTTTAATGGAAAAGAGAGATAAAGACAAAGTTAAAAGGTAAGAAAACCCATAGAATGAGGTGGTTAATGCATGAATGGCTACAAAACCAACGCAAGGATGAACATGGGGTGGAAATGCTTTCTCAGCTCATTGGGACCTACGAAAGCCGCTGTTTGCATTTCAAAATCATTCGTCAGAAAACCAAATTAGAGAGAATTTCACAAGAGAAAACCTCATTTTTTTTGTTTTGTATCTTTATGTTTGGCCCTTGTGCTTTATTTGTGGGTGACGAGCTACATTTAGTTTGGGTTTCTACTTTTTGTAATGCTTCCCTCTCTTCATTTGTGTTTATTGATGTAGGCAAAGTTTAGCCTCACATTGTTTGTTTGCCTATTTTAATTGCACAATGGTGGAAAAGGCTTGGTTCAGGGACAATCAGAGCTATTAATTGACTCTTATTAATCCCTATTTTTCCCAACGACATATTGCAACAAAATCCTTTAAATTCGAGATAAAATTAAACTAAATTTCAGAAAAGATAAATTTTAGATGGAAATTTCGGGAGAATGATTTGATTGAAGAATCAACAAAAACTCATATGTGAACATGACTCAGACCAAGTCACCTTAAGAGACTTGTTATTTACTAACCCAAAAGAAATTGAGCAAACAATTACATTATCGGGTTAGAAGACACTAAAACAAGTAATTTTACAAAATAAAATACCACTCAACTCTGACCTATTCTTGAAATTTTGAATTAACTATTAGATTATCCAACAGCAGACATTTATTGTGGAGGATCTGAACTTAAATAATTAAAAAGAAACATATTAGTGCCAATTAACTAATTGTGCACTGTATGAGCATGCTCCAATTAGCGCGAGCAACTAACCATTGGACTTGCAATGCTAAATATGAACATATGATGCTGTCCACTATGAAGATATCACAAAGATTGATATTATATGTATCCTTTCTGTAGTCTTATTAATATTATATTTACATTATCGTCCTAATCTTTTGCAATTTTTTTTTATTTTTACTTTATTTTTATGTGGAAAGAGGAAATTACAGGAAAAACCCTCTCGGACACGGAGGCCCTAAAAAGTCAAAATAAAAGGAGTTTGCAACGGACAAAAGAACCCCACTCTTCCACAAACGGGAAGGGTTGAGAGAGCATGACCTAAACTAGCTACAAAATCCGCCGTGAAGATTGATACATATAGTATCAATGTTTTGCGGTTAAACTGGATCAGGTTGATGGAATTATACTAATATTTTATCACTGATCACTTTATGCTTATGTCACAGGCCAACAGAATTTCAAAATGGGCAGTTTTGCGATTGAGAAAGATTTATCTTAATCAGGTAAGATTATAAAAAGAAGCTGAACATTATGAGAATTTTGCAAATTACAAATATGAGAAGCAACAGCCAATAAATACCCTATAATGGAAATAATGCCCCTTCACACAGAGACTAAGACAGCAAGCTTCCAAGCATGGGAAAATAACCATCACTCTTTAAAAGAGACAGTTTGATTCCCCAACATCACATGAAAAAGAAGAAGAAGAAAAAAAATGCCTTATCTCCAACTGCTTTTTGGAAATGGCATTTGGCCCGCAGCTGCAAAGTGCAAAGCTGTATGTGATATGAACTTGGCACTCATAATGCGCAAACAAAATCACCACTTGTCTCTATGTCATCTATGTCAGCATCATCTATCTCATCAAGATCCATACTTCCCAGTAAAAGCCCGCCAATTTTGGCACCGTTTGCAGCTTTTCGAGCTTCTTGAATTATTGCTAAAATCTCTTCAATGCTCTGGGATGATTGTTGTTCATGGTTTTGATTGCTGCTTTGCAGGTTGTTTTCTTCCATGAATTCTACTGGTATATTTTTCAGAAACCAGGGGTGCTGCTTTATTTCTGGGATGGTTATTCTCTGCATCAAATTTAACGACTGAGAATCAATCACACATACATATCGATAGCTATTGTCACCGAATCAAAATAAGGACTTAAAAGTAAAAACACTCAAAACACTCAAGAAAAAAAAAAGTATAAACACTCAAAACACTCAAGAAAAAAAAAGTATAAACACTCAAAAAAGTGAAAAATCGTTTTCGTTCTAGGCACGGTTGTCAGCCGTCTGCATATATTGACGACTATTGTCAAAGAATCAAAATAAAGTGTATAAAGTATAAAAACTCAAAAAAGTAAAAAAGGGTTTTCTTTCTAAGCATGAACCATCAACGACTAGCAATCAATCATGTGTACAACGAGGGCTGTAAGTACAAGGAATTATACCTTTTCGGGGTTAGCAACAAAAATTCGAGAAAGGAGATGTCTACATTCCATGGAAACGCGTACATAGTCAGGAATGGAGTAGTGGACGCTAAGAATCCGCTGAAATAAGGCATTAGCAAATTATAGATGTTAGGCCACAACATTAAAAGGCATAGCAAGAGGCAAAACTAAAATGGTACAAATACCACAATGATACATACCTGGAGTGTTTTTCTGAAGTTTCTTGGATCTTCTGGATCTTCAAAGGGATAAGCACCCACAAGCATCACATACAAAGTAACCCCACATGACCAAACATCCGCAATCTGAGATTCTCAGAGAACAAAAAAAGTGTGAAGACATGATGTTAGGTGACCAAATAGTTGGCCCCAAAATGACAAGGACAAGACCTAAAATCGAACATGAAAAACAGGCCAACAAAGATTAGTAAACTTACCTTCCCATCATACTCTTTTCTTGACAGGACCTCTGGTGCAATGTAGGCCGGTGTTCCAACAGTTGATTTGGGTTGGGAATGCAACACAGATGACTATAAGATACAACAACAACAAAATTAAGTAATTGAAATTGAATTAACACACCGAAAAATGAAAACTGAAACAGTTATCAAACGGGCCTGAATGTACTGTAAATGAAGTAGTTAATTGCCTTGGAATAACCAAAATCGCAAATTTTGAGACGTGGTGCTGAGCTTCCATCTAGAAGTGTGTTCTCCAATTTAAGATCTCTGTGGCAAATTTGCTGCAATAGAAAACATACAAAATCAGTAAGGGATGGATGGAAGGTCAAGATTGGAGATAATTACAACAAAGAAAACTTTAATTATGATTTTGATAGATTGAGGTTTTTACCATTGAGTGGCAATAACTGACTCCTGAAATCAGCTGTTGAAAGAAATACCTTGCCTACAGATAACCATGTAAAGTATCAGGACATCAAGGAAAAAAAACCAAAACAGCTACTAAAATATCTAATCATTTGTAGCTGAAGAAAAGAAAACCCAAGTATATATATATAAATATATATATATATAAGCTGGATATTCTTTTAGCATTGAATTTGTTCTAATTTTTACCTCGTCCTCACTGAATCTACCAGCAGTGCATATTCTTTCAAAAAGTTCTCCTCCAGCTGCATATTCCATGACAATGGCCAAGTCGGTTGGTGTTAACAAGACCTGCAAAAGTTAACAGACATACAGTCAAATAAATAAGGAAAAAATCTCATCTGATTTAAAATATGCTAAACCCCTTGAAATTACTCATTGAAAACCAACTATATAAGCATCAATTTTTCACTGTAGCCAGCCCGGTGCCAATGCCAAGATAATGGAAGAAAAGGGTAGAGTCTTTAAAACAAGTGGAGATAGAAAACATGTTCTGTTATTAACAAAAAGTAGTGTCTGATTCTCTAAGAGTTCTTGCAAGTTGCAGATCACTAACGTAGCTTTGCAGAACCTTTTCTCATTGAGATACGAATAGAACTATTTCATTAAAGTTTGAGATCAAACTCAGAGTTATACCTCTTTAAATCTTATTATATTGGGATGCTTCAAGGACCTGTGGTTCATAATCTCCCTCTGTACATGCTCATCAATCTGTAAACACAGAAGAATGCTTCAAATTAGTCCCTCCATGAAAAAAAAAACAAAACCGGGATGATAAAATCTCACCTATCAAGATGAATGGGAAAAAAAGAGAGACCCAAGAATCAAAATTTCATACCAATGAAAGAGAAAAAATAAAAGATGCATATGTTACCTTCAGCCCTCTTTCAATAAACTTCACAGCATAGAGCTCCCCACTCCATTTGTCCTTAACCAGTTTTGCAACCCCAAAATTCCCAGACCCAATATCCTTCAATATCTCAAAGCGCTCCATTGCTATAGCAACAATCTCTCTCTTTCTCTCTCCCCCCTCTCTCTCTCTTTCTAAATTGTGCATAAATTCTCTGCCCTTGTCTACTTGCTTGCGTGAAGCATCTTCATGGGTTTTTCAAGGCCTTTAATTCTGAATTGGCAGCAATGCAAAAAGATGTTAAGCTTATTCGTTAAGCTTGGCTATATCCCCTCCTCCTATGCTCCAGTGGACTGTCTAAAAAGTCTTCGTGGAACATAAGAAACAAGAAGAGCAGCAATTCCACGTGCTGATTTTTGAGTGGTTACGATCTCCAGCAGAGATGACCAAGTTGTGACCGACCACTATCTCTGTAGTCGTGCTCTCGAATGTGCTAGTCGGTCGTACTCGCCGTTGCAAGACTACGACGTGTCGTTTTAGGGATGCTAATGGCAGCTGTTAGCGTAAGTTTGGCGGGTAAATATTTTGGGTACTCTCAGCGAGTAAGAGAGCATTTATTTTGGGTGGAGGGAACAATTCCTTGGGTTTACGAGGGGAGAGGATAAGTAACAGAAGGTAGGACCAAAAGATGACGTGACGGTGGAGAGGGAGGACAGTGAGATATGTCGTGCAATTTGATAGTGGGCCCCCACACATTTCTTTTGGGATGTTGCCTGGATTTCATCCTTCTTGGAATTTGAAACAACGCGGTCAGATTGCATACAACAAAAATAGAGTGCTTTATTTTCATTTCTCCACCCACTTTATGGTCAAAATTTTAAATATAAATTTAACAAGGTGGGTTCAAAATTTTAAATATAAATTTAACCTTTTGTAAAATAATTTCTAAGCCCCAGTCTCATATTTAAGGTTTTAACACATGTTTACTTTTTTCTTTTTTTTTTCAAGAAAAAAGAAGAATCTTCTATTAAAGTCGAATATAAACTAGAGTGATTCGCTATTATATCCAATATAAGGGCCCAAATTATAAAAATACCTCATATGAAATGGACTTTAGAAACACACTCAAAGCTCATTTACATCATTACAAAGAAGCTTTTAACTTCTTATAAATTACAAAACTGCCATCAATTTCTTAAAACAAGCCCAACCCCAAAATCTCATAAAAATACTCAAAACAATCAATAAGGCATCAAAGTAATTTAATAATTAATATTAAATTCAATAAGGTCAGCTGTCATTTTTTGGGTTTATTTATAGAAATTCAATGATGTATGGTTTATTTATAATATTAATGCTAAGAATGGGTATATCACTAAATATCTCTATAAACTATTGCATCTATAGCCAAACAATTAAATAACCACTTACTGCATACTTCATCCCTAATGCCAAACACGATCCCATTGAACAAACCCTCCACCAACGAAGCCTTAACTGGCACCTTCCCATTTAACACTGCGATGAATTGAACAAAACCTCAATTTTAACACTGCTAGGTCTTATAAAAATTGAACAAAAAATGAAAGAAAAAATGATAAACCTATCAGCTACCCCACCTATTAGTGACTGAACCAGCCCAATCAGCATATGTACGATCATGTTGCACAGAGTTATGCGCAATCGCAATTGCAGCTTTATTATCATAATACAAATCCATGGGTTTCTGGGGTCCAAACCCAAGATCTCTCAACAATCTTCTCGACCATAGTAACTCGCACACACCTTGTGCCATCCCACGATACTCGGCCTTAGTAATAGATCTAGACACCTCGTTTTGCTTTTTACTCCTCCAAGTAACAAGATTACCACCAACAAATGTGAAATACTAAAACATAGAACGTCTATCAGTGACTGAACCAACCCAATTAGTTTCTATATACCATTCCACATCAGTGTTGAAGAATAAAAGTCCCACATCAGAAACTTGATTAAATAAAATATAATATATAATGAATGGTTCCACTACTAATATCACTAAGGTCATTTTGTGATAAAACCTCACACCTAGTGGGCATTATAGGTGGTTAAGTTGTAGACAATATCAGTGTTGTTAGTAGTGGACTGCTAACCTGTCTCTCTGAATTTAACATAGTATCTAAGCATGTTGATTGATTGGGCCTGAATTGAGCCTTTACCCTTACCCAATATGTGGTGTTCACGTATTGGGATTAAATTATTGACTCCGATATGGACTTAGCTCCATATGTGGCCTACTATGTGGTGGTTCCACATGAGGGGGTGTGTTGAAGAAAATAAGTCCCACATAGGAAACTTGATTAAATAAAATACAATATATAATGAATGGTTCCACTATTAATATCACCGAGATCTTTTGTGATAAAATCACAAATCTACTAGGCTTTGTAGATGGTTAAGTTGGGTTAATATCGGTGTTGTTAGTATTGGGCCACTGGCCCATCTATCTGAAATTTAACATAGTATCAAGACGGGTTGATTGATTGGGCCTTTACCCTTACCCAATATGTGGTGTGAACATGTTGGACTTGAATGTTTACCCTTACCCAATACGTGGTATTCACATGTTGGGTTTGAATGTTGGACTCCAATGTGGACTTGACTCCACGTGTGGCCCACTATGTGGTGCTTCCACATGAGGAGGCGTGTTGAAGAATATAAAATCTCACATCGAAAACTTGAATAAATAAAATACAACATATAATGAATGGTAATATCACCGAGGCCTTTTGTGATAAAACTCCACGCCTACTGGGTTTTGTCGGTAGTTAAGTTAGGGACAATATCGGTGTTGCTAGTAGTGGGCCGCTGGCCCGTCTCTCTGAAATTTAACATGATACCAAAGCCAGTTGATTGATTGGGCCTGACTTGGCTCCACGTGTAGCCCACATGTGATGGTCCCACGTGAGGGGGCGTGTTGAAGAATATAAGTCTCATATCGGAAACTTAACTAAATAAAATACAACATATAATGAATGGTTCTACTACTAATATCACCGAGACCTTTTGTGATAAAACCCCACATTTACTGGGCTTTGTAGGTGGTTAAGTTGTGGACAATATCGGTGTTGTTAGTAGTGGGTGTTGATGTTCTGTCTCTCTGAATTTAACACATTGGGTTCTCTGATTCAACTTAAAAAACATTATGGAATATTAGAAATTGTAAATTAACCACTTGGTTGTTAGGAGATGGAAAATAAGATGCATCAATTGCCAATAAATTTTCATACTTGGTAGATTCAATGGAAAAAGCTTGGTTCCTTCAAATTGAGGAGGAATTCTTCCTTAATCTTAAGTAGCCAAGTCATGCTCATATATTGTGAGTATAGTGGTGAAGTGGTGGGGAGGGAGGGAGAGAGAGAGAGAGAGAGAGAGAGAAGGTATTAATTAAATGGTATTTTTAAAATTACAAGGTGGGTGGGAAGATAAGGTGAATGAGAAAATAAGACATGAGTAGAAATAACAGCACTCCAAAAACGATCGAATTCGTCTATTTTTAATATTTACATGGGGTTATACTTTGAAAAAATCATTCAAATAGAAAACTATTTGATCATCTCCTCAAATGTATAAAAGCAAAAATACATTTTGTTAGATAAAACTAAAATAATAATCAAATACTCAAATAACTTAACAATTTTGCAATTGAACTAATCGGGATAATTCTTAAAATAGAACTTGAAAACCTATCATTAAATATCGAAATGTAATTTTTTTTTATTTAAATAAGAACATCCTTCCAACATAAACATACCTTCTGGTTTTCATTTTCATGGGATTGAATTGAAGGAAATTATGTTTCTCTAATTTTATTCACCATATTAATGGATGATGTATATACTTTCATTTTTTAGCCGCATGTTTATGAAAAGAAGTAAATTATATATTAATTTGTCTTGATATATTACTTCACTTTAAGTCTAACTCATGTACTATAAATTCAAGGATTTTGTTTGTTTGTTGTACAAGATGCAATAGCATTCAATCGCTAGCTAGTTAATAAATTGATAAACACTAACCAATTAATTTGGCATACTCTATAATGTAATCTCAGTATTGGAATTGTTCATTCTTATATCCTCAAAAAGGATCATCCTTAGAAAATTCACCTAATCGGAAATCCCTTAATTAGCTATGTGTTATAAAACTAGAGGGAAATTGTAGAGAGAAAAGAGAAAAGAAGGACAATAGAATTTGCTCTATCAACTTGTATCGTTCATCTTTGATAAGCACCAATTTATAGGCTTACAACCATAAGAAATCAACTCATAAATTGTAGGTTAAAGAGTACTAATTATAATATTAATAGTAATAACAAAGGTTACAACTCATTACAAGCTGGAGGTAATGGAAGATATGGTGGTCATCCATATTCCATATATGGGTTATTTACTGAAATGGTCATCAAACTTATACCCTAGTTGCATTTTGGTCCATCAACTAAATTATTCGTTCAAATGGTCCACCACCTCTTTATTAATTGAAGGGGTAAATTACTCAAATGGTCCTCGAACTTATACTCAATTTACATTTTGGTCCCTCAATTAAATTATTCATTCAAATAGTCAAATGGTCCATAAACTCTATATTATTCTCTCCATTGGTCCTACCGTTACATTCTGTTAAAATTTCCATTAAATATGAGGGCAAATTGGTCATTATTTATCCTAAAATTAGGTTAAATATAATAGAAAATTAGACGGTAGGACCACTGGAGTGAATAATTTAGAGTTGATGGACCATTTGAATGAATAATTTAGTTGATGGACCAAAATGAAAATCATGTATAAGTTTGAGGACCATTTGAGTAATTTACCATTAATTATAGCATTGGTCCTACCATTACATTTTCTATTTAATTTAGTCGTGTAAGCAGCACATGTAACATTTGTGAGGGTAAATAAGACTTTTGACAACTAAAAAATTAATTATATGATTAAAAATTAATATAAAATTTCCTTTATTTTTAAAATGAATTAAAAACTATAAAAGAATTAAAAAAAACAACAAAAAGTAACCCCAAAAAAAACCTAACGAACTACCCCACCCTCTCTCTCTCTCTCTCTCTCGTGGAGGGAAGGGAAGAGAGGATAGGCTGTGGGAAAGAGAAGATGGGGCGCTGGGCAATGAGGTTATGGCTGGGGCTGGAGGGTAGGAGGTTTTTTTTTTGTTTGGAAATGTTTTTTACTTTTTAGTTTTTAATTTATCTACTATTTATTTAACTGGACCGTTTTTTCCCTTATATTTGATGGCAATATTGACAGAATGTAACAATAGGATCAAAGCCCCAATTAATAAAGAGTTGGTAGATCATTTGAACGAATAATTTAGTTTATGGACCAAAATGCAATTCGGGTATAAGTTTAAAGACCATTTTAGTAAATAACCCTTCCATATATTTATAACACTATGATTATTATCATGAATATTTTCATCATTTATTGAAAAATATTATTTTTGTCTATTTATTTTGTTACTGTTGATAACTAAATGCCCCCGATTTAAGTGAATTTTTACGAAGATAATCTTTCAATTATGACCTAAGAAATGAATGGTTACAATTTATTAGAGCCTCTAAGCTCAAATATTTGAAGTGCTTTTAAACAGACTTAATTTCTTTATTATTTAAAAAATAAAAATAAAAATAAAAATAAAAAAACTACGTGCAATGATTCTTTTGCTTAAAAGATTCATGCAATTCAATGCATAAGTCCACACTCAAAGAAGAAACAAACAAAAAGCAACCCAAATATAAAAAGAAGAAGAATTGTGAAAGTTCTTGCCATAACTAATTAAAAAGGCAAACTTAGAAGTTTTGTTTTTCTCTTTCATTTGGAAACGTTTAAAAATGTTTCCCATATTCAGAAATAGAAATTCGACTTCGATAGGGGACTGATCAGCTGAATTAGCACTTTACAGCACTTGCAATAGTGATTGCCGTAGTTGACCCCCCAAAAAAAAAAAAAAAAAAAAAAAAAAAATTGCCGCACGGTGTAGGCAACGGCAAACATGTTGTGGACGAAATAAACATGCTTTTAAATATTAAAACAAATTAGCATGCTTCAACGTCTAATAATTTCAGATACCAAAAAATTCTAACGATTCCCTTACATCTTGCCCTTATTGAGCTAGTGGTCCAAATTGTAAGTTGGTTATGAGGCAAGAGCGATTCTTCTGTGTGGTTGTCGTAGAACGAGACGATTGATGTCGCATCGTACCAAAATACAAGGGTCCACTCTTTCACCTATTTTGAGATGCCAAATATTAGAATTTCTCGTCGAACATAATTTTGTTACAATAAACGTGATTATAAAACACCTTATCAAAATATTAAAATCAAAATTCGTCCGAACTCACGATTCGAAGGAGAAAAACAATCCTATTCAATATGATCGCGCTCTAAATCTCACTTAATTGAATTACAAGAAGATTTATAATTCAAGTGGTTGATAACATAATACATCTACAATCGAGTTCCTGTTTCAATTAGCTTATATGTTTGGAAGTGTTTTCTTATAACAATCCCCTGAAAAGCTGTTTTCTCTCCAACATCAAACACCTGTGCGTACAGCCATCACTAACCTCTCGCTATTCAACAACTTTGGCCCACACTTCATGTCAACAACATGCCTCTCCAAGCCCTCTCGTCATATAATTAATCTTGATTGCTCATCATTTGGATCTTATCTTGCTCGATTTAATAGCTTCGATTATTGGACGCTCACGCTTGCTACACCCAAGTGTTTTTGGCGTTTTAACTTCAAAGACATAAGTTTTTCTTTGTTTTCTAGCACAAGCTGTCTAAATAATGCACAGCAGCCAGCTATATATGTGCCTGCAGAGATGTGGAAACCCTCTTTTTCTGTTAGCAGTATACAAGGGAGGTGCATATAATCATATATCCCTATCAAGGATGAAAGAATGCAATATCTTTTTCAATGGTGATATGAATGACACTTCATGTCAAATTAACCACTGATTAAGACTGATGAAAGCCTATACCAAAAAGAGAGATAATATTCTTGTGTATTCTTACACACTAAATCTAAGATTTGTTGGGAATTTGAAAGCAAATGAGAGTTGAGTCCTGGGAGATAGACGTCTATTGAACTTCAAGCACTCATAATGGGCGAAATATGCAAGCCTCTATCTACATAAGAGCACCTCATGTGCAAGCCCAAACTCGGGCAAATGGCATCCCTAGGCCACAAAGCCATCCTCTAGTGCGCACAGTCAAGCCCAAGCAAGGTGTGGGACCCACCAGCCCGGGCAAGCCCACAAGCAAAAATGGACTGGGTTGTTGCCCAAAGGCTGCTGATGTCAGCGCTGACCCACCAGCCCACAGAAACCAACGGCTACAAGCCACGTGGCTTCTCCTGGAGCCTTTGATCCAAAAATCTTATCCAATCCAACGTTTGTCCAATTTTTGTTTAAAAAAAATTGAAAATAATAATAATAATAAATTTGTAAAAAATATCCAAAAATTCTGGAAATTTTTTTCTATAAATACCTACTAATATTATTCACTTTCCACACCCAATCTTCATACAAATTCATCTCTTTACAATATTTTTCACTTTACACACCAAATTTTCTGCTACAAAATTCCATTTGTGCAAAAATACAAATGGCCTCTTCCATCGAAGCCGGAGGGTCATGGACAAATGTTTGAAGAGGTCAAAATCTTGGCGATGAGGTAAACGAAAAATAATTGCCATTTTATTCAATTTAATATTTTTTAAAATTTATATTTCTTGCATTTCTAATTTCAGTTTTTTAATAGATTATTCAAGGCAAAACAAAAACGAGGAAAACCATTACACATGGCTCGTCAAGTGAACAATGCATGTAGTTGATTCCAGTGATGCGTTCCGTGTCGGAAATAATGGCACTATTACATCCTCCGAAGGAAAATACTCCCCCACATCTTGATCTAGTGGAACCACCTCCTCCAATGATTGAGTCGTCCTTGTACTCGATTGTGTCAGACTATGAGGACTGGGAATATTTCAATTGTATGATGAGTGAGATGTGAATTTTATAATAAATATAGACACGTCGCAACCGAAAATCTTGTCTGAAAATTTAATTCGAAAATTTTATCTGAAAATGTTATTTAAAATTTTAGGTGAGAATTTTATAATAACTAGTGACACGTGATAATCGAAAATCTTATTCGAAATACTTAATTAATGGTTTAAGTATAAAAAATAGAAAATAAATTACAATGAATAGTAATTGCCCTTACCCTTGCCTTTTGGGGTGGAACCAAAAAAGGCAGGGTTGCCACTATTCATGTGAATAGTGACAAATCTTGCCTTACCTTTACCTTTGCCTTGTCCTTGCCCTTTGAGCAACTCCACCATTAGACTCCAGCCCGGGCAGGACAAAGCCCAAGCCTAGGCGAGTCCTTCTAGCAGGCCAAACTTGCCATGGCAAGTTATGGGTCCCACGAGACTGGGCCAGCCCGCAGGCCAAACCAGCTTGACTTCTAGCCTAGGTTTACTAATTTCAGCGATGACGTCAGCAACCAAATTTTTTTATTAAAAAATCTTAAAAAATACTATGAATTTCATAATTTTTTTAAAATAAATACTTACTCATATTCTTCACTTCCCACACCAAAACTCTACAAATTCCTCTCATAATATCTCATGTGAATAGTGGTTGTCATGGCAATGGGTGGAAACACCACAACCTTTTGCAATGGCTGCCACTATTCACGTGAATAGTAACAGCCCTTGCCCTATACCATGGCAAATGGGTGGAAGTGCTCTTTGGGATGGAGGTGATCTAACAAGTCACTGATTCAGTTTTGTCATTGTTATTATTCTTATTTCTTTTATTTATTCTGTTATCATATATAGTTTTGTTTGGTCATTTACTGTGAGTTTATTTCACTCATTACTTGTGGCGAATACTGATTTTTCCTATCAAAATTGTGGAAATGGTTGTTGTGGGGAGCTCAAAACAATGAGATGTTTGAATTTCGTTCTCACCTTTTCTTTAAACATGAGATGTTTAATGAGTCCGAAATTTTGTATTTTGTTACGATAATTGTTATTTACGACTCATGTTATGAGAATTGTTATTTATGACTTATTTGGGAGTGATTCTGGATAAGTTTTTAGTTGTTAGTATAGGTTGGTGGAGGCATGATCCTTCAACATTTGCACATAACAAGCAATTGCAAACAACTCTTAATTAAAAGGGTGGTGCTAGAGGCACCAACTTTGGGCACCAAGTTGGGCACCAACTCTCTAATAGAGGTGGAGCCCGCGAATACACCAGGTACCACGCTCTATTAGAGAGTTGGTGCCCAACTTGGTGCCCAAAGTTGGTGCCTCTAGCATTTTCCTAATTAAAATTTGCTTCGCATCATGACCACTTTCAATAGTTTGGGCTTTATTTATCCCTCCAGCTACCAAAGTATTCTAATTTCATCATACAAACAAACCCATCCATAACCAATATATTTCTGCCGGTTGACTTCGAGACACAAGGGGCAATCAAACCTGGTGTGTTTGGGACCAACAACCTCATTTTTCCACTATATATTATGGAATTTAATATTACAACTGCTCACTTAAGTACACACTAAAATATATATACATGTTAGGATACGATCATATACTTACATTTTTCCACTTCATCTCATAATAAGAAGATTTAATTCGCTGATAAAGTTTCCTCAATTTCCTACAGTTCATAACCTGGGAACCTGGCGTTTTCGGGCACATGCAGATCAAACAAGAGGCAAGCTGTTCCGGCAAGTCCTTGAAAAAGGGAATAGGCATGTTCAGCCCCATGAGTGTCCCCCACAGTCACAAGTTCTCTACCATTGTGATACAAGAAGCTTGCGAATGCCCTTGCTCTCCCTTCATATATGGTTTCTCCGGTCAGACGGTAGAGAGAAAGGAAGGCATAGGCATTCCCAGCCACACCATCAGCAAGTCCTACCTTCTTCAGCAAGCCATTCTTCCACACAACTTCTCCTGCTTCTATCGCAGCATCGCGAAATTCCCTGTCACCTGGAAACACCTAAAGAAGAAAAGAGACAAGCAGCCATTAATTCGTCTAGATTAGTAGACAGACAGACAAACTTCGAGGATTTTGTGCTAGCAAAAATACATGGACCATTTTGTGCTAACAAACTTCGAGGATTTTGGATTCAGAAGAAAAGGCCAAGCACCATAACATAAATTCTCAATGCATTGTATACAATTGAGGGCAATGAATGGACCTCTATACTTTGAAGCCTTGCTAAAGGAAAATGTTAAAGGGATCATATATTCTGACCACATTCACTCAGTATTATAATTAAACTACCCATTAACCTACCAACGGTCACTTTATGTGATTAATTATATCATGTAATCCCTCCAGCATTATTGCATTAGGAAAAGTAAATTTGTGCACGAGAGGCAACCAACCTGTGATGCCTTGCACAGGGTTATGGCCATGCCAGCTGCACCATGAGACCAATGCACAAACTTGTCTCTGGGGTTCCCTTCACTTGAAGGGTAGTTTCCACTATGAGGGAACCTATTAGCCATCATATATCTGAGAGTTGCCTTCACATCCTCTGCATCCTCTTTAGAAAGTGGGAAGTGAAGTAGGACTTGCAAAATTCCAGCCAGGCCATTGGCTGCCCCTAAATACCTTGTCCCATGCCACCTGTACATGAGTGGGCAGGAAGGGTTATCAGATGCACCTGCCCTACCTCCAGCCAACACAGCATCCACCACAGGCATTAGAAGATCACTTGGCACCTTCTCTTGTCCAAGATACTTGTTTATGAACAAAGCTGCCCATAAAAAACCAGCTCTCCCATGTAGAAGATCATATGACATTCCAAAACCACCTTCCTCTGGCCCAACTGAGAGGGCCTTCTCTTGTGCTACCTATACATGATCAACCAAATAAGTATTAATATAAACCGGCACCTAATCTTCCTGCTTTAAAGGTTCAATCAAAACAACATTTAGAGCAGATACATTGAACCATCCAACCCAACTGACTGGCCATTATCAACCATACAAGTTTTAAAGTAAAGATAATTTTGAGGGAGGTGCTAACTACATTAGTTGGTAATTTAAGTCCATGACATCTTGCAAACTGATCCTAATGAGAGCCATTTTGCTCACTACGTTCAACCATATTGTTGCATTACTTATTTCGTCACTTGTTGTGTCCCAGGAGAAAAAATTCAAAACTTTGATCTACAGGAAGAGGGGAAAACAATCCACTCCATCTCTAGGTCGGAGAAGGAGCTGATCCAAAAACAGGAAAAGTTTGCCCCGGCACAGACATAAATTATAATTAACAGACAAACACATAAACTCACCTGTGTTTTTATTAAAACACAGGTCAGGGTGCGGATAAGCTTCCACAGAAAGTTGCACGTATTAGCACAGACGGTTGGTTTAATTTTCCGTACAAGCATCATCTTTTGACTTTGTAGAATGTATAGATTTTAAAACTTGATACGAACATCATTTCAAGTGTTAATATACTGAAACCTTCGCATAGAGGCAAAGACTTTTAGTCGGGAACTTCAATTTTGGAGAAATATACGCCTACATATATTTATCATAAGAAAAACTGTCATTGTAGGAAGCTCATAAATATCAAACCAAGGTGGTAAGCTGGGGCAGAAATGTGGTAAGCTCATGTCAACAGGTGACCTGATATTTCCAACGGGCCAAAGAGAAAGGAGAAAACAAAAAGCAAAGATATGCCAAGATAGAATTTTTTGGTAAGAATATACTCCAAGATATTACGAGAGATTCTATCAGTACCATATTTATTGACCACATTGATGATCGCCTCTCTAATACAAGTTGGCAAATAGCATTATTGTATATTATAAAATCCATAAATAGATAGGTAATAGAAGTTGTACTAAAAATACGACAGAGAGGCCAATAGGGTATAGTTCAGTTGGTTGAAGAGCCCATATGGGCAGAGGTTCGAAACTCACATACACCCAGTATTTGTGTAAAACCTCCTCCCCCAATCGCTTGTACTCAATAAAAAACGACAGAGATATTAAGATGAATTGGAGACTTAGATCGATATCTATACCTCAAGGAAAAGGTTCAAATACAAGTCTCGCCTTTGATGGTCGCCAATCAAGTTGGCCACTACAGCTCCAATGGCGTAAACTCCTCCTCTACCACACAAAAACGTCACATGCCTGCATAAACCAAGAATGTCCATTAATAATAAAGACAAATTAGCTAAAATATCCTTGGCATATCCTGCCTCAAAAATGGGAATAAGGTAATTCCATGTTCTTTTAATTTACGAATTTTTGTTTCTGCTTTTAAAGGTCTTTCATATTGTGATCACTTCACTTATGACTAACTAAAAAGTGGGGTGGGAAGAGAGCGGTTGATGATTAAAGTGAGAGGGTCTTGACGAGGAAGGAGGAAGACAGAGAGACTTAATTTATTATGTGTAATTAATATACTTAATAAGGGTAAGCAAGTGACACATGTCATGCTGAAAAGAGAGTAGATTCAAAAAAACACTAGAGAAAAGGTTGCTAGCATTCCCATATATGTACGGCCAAAAAACTAAAGTCCTCTTCTAAAATTTAATGATACACCTAACTTGCATATATTAGCTGACAAATAATGTCCTTGCATAATTAAAAAAGAAAAAAAAATCTAAGGCAGATGGATGACAATAACATCAAATATCTAAGGCAGATGGATACTGTTTGTTTCCATCTTCAAATGAGAGTTTGATATATAGACAAAAATAATTCATCGAAAACATAAAAGTAAATTTAGGTTTTAGCCCCACAAAAAAAATTTCACTTTTGAAAAAGTCAAAGCTTTTAAAAAAAGGGCAGAAAAACATCTCAACTTTCAAATCAAAGACATACAAATGTAAATGATTTCTTAGGAAATTCAAAAATAAATAAGGGCAATTTTATCTATTTTGACTTCTTTTACAAAATTTCTCTCTCCCCTGTGTTTTTCCAAAGTCTCCCAAACATAAAAGGAAAAGCTTCTACACGAACGCATGCCAAATTATGATTTGAAAGAAAGCAAGACTATGTAATTGGCAGAGGAAAAAACTTGGAACATGACTTGCTAATTCCGAGGGAAGGAACATGTAATGTAATTACTTCAGCTCAGTAACTTAACGTCCCATAACAAACCCAACCCCCAACTCCCAACTGACAACCGATAACCGACAAGACCCGTAACAAAACATTTAACGTCATTTACCTTGTGGACGCACGTTCGACGGTCACGCACTTGTCGACAACCTCTGAGGACAGCACCAAATCCTGCCGGTTACCAGTTGCCTCGTAAGACCTCAAACACGTAAAAGCCGTACCAAGCAAACCCGTATACACTGTCGGATCCAACACCATACCCGTCCGCAGACCCGAACCCGAATCCCCTCCTCCTTCCCACGTGACCTGTACCACCTGCATCCGAAATTTAAAAATAAATAAATAAAAATCCAAAAATTAAGGGAGGTGAAACGATTTCTGATTTCAAATCTCACCAACGATAGGTGTTGAATTACGAAGCTGACCTCAACATACGACATGTAACATACCTGGTCCTTGAGAGACACAGCTGCTCTGAGAAAAGTCTCGCTGGGAAGTGACCAGTTGGGAGCCGTTGGATCAATCAAATCCAGCCGTTCGTTGTTGGCATCCTCATGACCCTCCGGAGACGACGTTAACTCCACCCCAAACGACATGTCTTTGCTCTCTCTCTCTCTCTCTCTCTCTGCTTTCTTCGTGTTTGGGTTTTGAGCTTAATTAGCTGGGGAAAAGCGCACGTATACGGCAACGATATATGTAGGGGGAGTTTGGGAGAGGGAAAGGTGTTGAGCTGTGATTGTATGGTGTGGCGGTGCACCGTGGAGAGATATGCTTCCTTCCCCGCGTACCACGTAAGCTAATCATACCTTGTACGATTAAATTGCCATATTACCCTTTTTTTTATTTTATTGTTTTTATCAAATATTTTATTACCGTTTGATGCATGCGAATCACATTCCTCTCTCGCAATTTGGACAAGTAAACAATGGAGAGATATGATTCCAACAGAGAAAGAAGAAACGGGATAAGGGGATGATATTATTGACTGTGCGGTCCACTTTCTTTAATTAATTAAAGTTATTTTTGGACCCACGATTTTAACGTGTGCCACTAAATTGGCAATTTGATGTTCCATGGTGGAAAATCTACATGAACATGAAGTCCATTTTGACAGAAAAATTTATATGAAACGGGCAATTACAGTCTGTCACATAAAAAAAATTATCACACATGACATACCGTGTTGTTTTATATAAGTGTTTCTTATGGAGTGACACCTGTAACTTTTGTCTTGTCAATGATATTTTATGATTTTGAAAACGAGATTGCAGGTATGATTTTGAAAATGATATTTTACACACATGACACACGCAAAGTAAGAATTTCTACTCCCGAAAGGCAAGTATTTTCATTTTGAATGACCAAAAGGCCTAAAATGATCGGTCCATAATGATTGAAAGTTTGAAACCACATATGATGTAGAAGGTGGGGGGGTTTTCTGTGCCCCGCTAAAAACGTTGTCTAACAAAAAACAACAATTTTGGGAGACAATGAGGATAAAAAGATCCAATCCTATTTTTATGTGGGTCAAGATATTGAGGTGGACGGTGGTGGTGTGAGAGACCAGAAAGTATAGATATGTGGGGTAAATTGTAAAACTGTAAACTGTAAAGACCAAATTGTGAGAAAGCACTTGTGCACACAAGGGGATTCAAACCCCTTCCACTCCCTTCCTTCTGTTGAGACTTATCCAACACGCTACGAATGAGTTTGTAATCATAAGCTACAACGTGTAACATTTATAATGTCTTTAAACTTTTTGCAAGCTAATTTTAATGTTACTTATTATTTTAATATTCCCTAGGATAAATCTCCCTTAAAAAAAATTCATATCATAAATTTAATCAATTTAATGTTATTTATTATTTTAATATGGAGTTGTATTTTTTTGGATCATATTTTATGGAGTTGTATTATTATTTACTATTGAGTTTTAATATTGTTCATTATATGTGATACTAAGTTTGAACCTTATAGGAATTCTTTCTATGTGGTACTAAGTTACTCATATATCTTATTTTTGTTTTTGGGGACTGATTTTCCCACTCCCTTTTTATCTACTTACACTCCATTTTTCTAAACAAAAACGAGTGTATGTGGATAAAAGGGGAGTGGGAAAATCATTTACCTTGTTTTTTTGGTCGAGCTCATATATCTTATCATATGTATAAAGTGTAAAATATTGTAGTAAAGTATTATACTTAAAAATTATGGTATTTTTATTTTTTTAACTAATTACAACAGATTTTCTAGAGTCACAATGTTTGTTAGCGCACTACATAACAACTTAAATTATTCAAACCCACCATGTAATGCATTTCTTTCTAATTTTTTGTGATAAAATAATCGATAATTGACTAAGTAAACATCCTCTAAAGTTTCAATAAAAATTTCCAAGTTTTTCTCATAATTTCAGTGGTTTTTATTCAATTTTTACTGATATCGATATTTCCATGTTTTTGGACCACTGATATTTTCGAAACTATAGATATTTTCGAAACTATAGATATTTTAGAACTTGGTTGAAATTATAAAATTTCCACATTTTTTCTTTGAAGTTTATGTGAAACATTTGTAATTTCAAAAACCCATACACACGACTAAAATGAGTATAGAGATCACTGCCCAAAAAAGAAAAAGGTAAACCGATGAAAACTCAAAATGATCTTTGTGTAGTGTAGCTGTGATTCCTTCTGCTGGCAGCATTGGTTCTTTAGTCCTCAATGCAAGGTCCAAATCCGTAATTCCAAGAACAATCAACAAACACACTCAAATAGAATTTAGGATTATGAATAATTATGCATATTTCTATTCTTCTCATAAGGAAGTATTTATAGTGATAAAAATAAAAGTCTATCTAGGAAATAAATACAATAAAGAAAATGGAAATAAATACAATCCTGATCTAACCGGTATTCCTATAATTACAAATAAAGGTAAAATTGTATACAATTCTTATAATGATTCACGCCAACATTCCCCCTCAAAACGGTGCATAGATGTTGCAGATGCCCAGCTTGACAAGTGAATCTATAAAGGCTTGATTTGATACGGCCTTGGTCAACATATCCGTCAATTGTTCAGTAGTCCTAACATACGGAACTTCAATAATCTTTTCTTCCAATTTCTCATAAATAAAATTCCGATTAATCTCTACATGTTTCGTCCTATCATGTTGAACTAGATCTTCAGCAATCTTAATTGCTGACTGATTATGACAATACAACTTCATAGTATCCTTACTGGGAAAACCAAGCTCCTCCATAAGCCTTTTTAGCCATAGCAGTTCACAAACACCTTTCATCACAGCCCGAAACTCGACCTCTGAACTGGACAAAGAGACAACCTTCTACTTTTTACTCCTCCAAGTAACTAAGTTACCTCATACAAACCTAAAATAACCAGACGTCGATCTTCTCTTATCCCTCTTTCCTGCCCAGTCGGAGTCCGTATACCCCACAACTTTTACATGCCCATGCTTTAAGAACATTAGACATTTTCCCAGTGTAGACTTCAAATACCTCAAAATTCATACTACTGCATCCATATGTCGTACACTTGGATTATGCATGCACCTACTTACAACACTTAATGCATATGCAATATCAAGTCTAGTGTGAGAAAAATAAATCAAACGACCAACCAACCTTTGATATTGTCCTTTATCAATTGGAACTTAATTTGGACATTCTTCCAAACCATGATTTTGTTCTATATGTAACATCCCACATCGACCAACGGAGAGGGGGTGATGTGCCTTATATGTACATGCCCGCTTCCATCTAGCATGAGGTCTTTTGGGAGCTCACTGGCTTCGGAGTCATGAGAACTCCGAAGTTAAGCGAGTTGGGGCTAGAACAATCCCAGGATGAGTGACCCATTGGGGAGTTGCTCGTGAGCTCCCAAAAATAAAACTGTGAGGGCAAATAGGGGGCCCAAAGCAGACAATATCGTGTACGGCCGAGCCAATCCTAGGATGTGACACTATAGGAATATCAATCAGTTCACACCCAAGCATACTTGCTTCCTTTAGCAAATCAAGAACATATTGTGCCAAGAAAATTTCATTTTTAGAACGAGTTACCTCAATACCCAAAACATATTTTAATCCACCAAGATCCTTCATATCATACTCAGAAGCTAAATAGCATTTTAGTTTGCCAATTTCATCAAAATCATCACCAGTCACAATCATATCATCAAAGATAAACTATAGAGGCGATCGCCTCTTCCCAGAACCGTGGGCTCATGTAAGCACCAATAAGACTGGTGTTCAAACCCAAAAAATCCATGGTTAGGCCCGAATAAATTATTGGCCCAAAACGACACTTTATTAAGAAAAGACGCAAAATGGAGTATATGCAAACCTGCCACATACGAGTTGCAGTTCACATGCCGTGCTAAATAAATAATCCGTCATGCCAGGAAGTGAGACAAAACATGCCGGCTCTACATGCCCATGCCAAAATTAAACATCACAACCCTTCCCAAGAACGATAAAATCAAAACATGCCGAGCAACATGCCATACCAAGCACAAAATCATTATTTCGCACCCAACCACGTTACAAGCCTAAGTAAGCCTAAGCCACTCAAATGCCCGAGGCTTGCTTGAGTGGGTTGTGGTATGGATGGTAATAAATTTACATGAGGCCCATTGATAGGCCAAGAAGTGGAAGTCTCGGGTCGCTTTGGAGCATCGGGACTCAAGCCCATTTCTTAAGCCCAAGCATATGGGTGAGCACAAGAGGGAAAATAACTCAACCAAAATAACACCAAAAGCCCAACATTTAATAGAAAATAGCTCACTTACTTAAAGAACCACCTTGGCCCATACAATTAACCATAATAAGCTACAAAGGCCCCAATACCTAGCTGCAGGAATAAAAGCCACGAAGGGGAGGTTCCAGCACATGGGTTGAGCAAGTTTCAAGTAAGAAACGTTCAAGGAACCAAAGGATATTACTGCGCAAGCTGCCAGAAGCACCCTTCGAACCAGCATGCATATCCCTTTGTTTTCCTTCATCAGATCTAGCCATGGAAGGAGGAAGGAAAAAGAAGAAAAAATAACTGAGAATGGAAGTCTCCCATTGAAACAGCTGCGGGAAAGGGGCATTGAGCTCCCCAAAATTCCAGATTTTGTGCAAATAGGCAGAGGAAATTTCACCAAGATAGGAAAAGTCAAGGGAGGAGATGAGAAAGGAAGGGAAAAGCTTGGCCAAAATTGGGTAGAAACCATTAGGGTTTCTTGGGAAGAGATGGTTTCCAGCGGCTATAAAATGAGGCATCTTCTACCCAACAGAAGGGACATCCAGAGAGCAAGCTTCCTCTCTTCCCTGCGAAAACCCAGCAATCTCGTGCACTATTCACCCTTATTCTCCATTTTCCTTTTCTGACAGACCACTTCACATCTGACAGAATTTCCGTCAAACCGTCGGAAGAACATTGTTCTTTCTTTCTCTCTTCTTAGCCAAATCCTTTTGCAAGACCTTTCCTCTCTTACCTCAACACTCCCCATTTTCCTAAGAAAGCATAATTTTCTCTCAAGTGCTAAACTCATGTTAATTTTGCTCATATGCCACAAGCTTCTCATGTCAAGCTAGATAATTTATCTGTAAGCATTACAAAATCATCTGTAAGTTGCTGTTGTTTTAGTTGGTAAAGATAACCAAGATGCTTCCTCAGGCTCTACTGCCCTTTTGAAGCATTTTTGGGGCTTGATTTTCGAACTTAGACACGGGGTACAAAACCATCAATCTGCCCTTTATAGCAGCCCAGCCCATTTATAGTTGCCGGAGGAAAAAGCCCCCTACAATTGGCATGAGTAATTTCAAGAATTTAGCGATTCTTCCTTTTAGCCACATCATTCTATTAAGGTGTGTAGGGACAAGTAGTCTCATGTAGAATTCCATGTTCCTGAAAATAACTGTGTAAAACTTGATTAACATATTCACCACCATTATCCGAACGAAGCACCTTTAAGGTAGTAGAAAATTGAGTTTGTACATGGATGACATGACTTTATTTGCTGAAGAATAAAAACGATGTGTTTTCTAGTTTTCAGTCTTTCCACAAACAAATGAAAACTTAATTTAGTGGTTAAATCCAGATTCTTCCCTCAAACAATGGTGGAGAGTTTATCAATCATGACTTTTGAACTTACTTCCAACAACATGGAATTATCCATGAGAGGACTTGTCCTCAGACACTGCAACAAAATAGTGTAACGAAAGAATCGACATCTTCTTGAAACCGTCCAAGCACTTTTGATTGGTGCTCATGTTCATCGTCATCACTGGGATGATGCTATTGTCACCGTAGTTTACCTGATCAACCGCCTGCCTTGTGGTGTCTTAACCTTTAAAACTCATTTACAAGTGCTTGTGCAACACAGACTTCTGCCCTCTGTTTTGATACTCACACCCCGAATCTTTGGATGTGTGGCTTTTGTTCATCTCTACAAAAATCAACGTAGCAAACTTGATCCCTATGCGCTTCGTTGTGTTTTTGTGTGTTATGTTAATCATCAGAAATGCTACCGCTGTTATCACCCTTCTACCCGACATACCTATGTCACTTTAGATGTGACCTTTTTGGAATCTGAGTTGTTCTTCCATGACCCATCATCCAATTCTACGCTTTAAAGGGAGATACGAAGTGAATAGCAGAATTAGAGCAACTTGGAAAACAAAGAAATTCTCTTTTATATAGAAATGATCGATCGTCCCGAGTCTGGAGCATGAGATTACTCTCTACCGAAAAGCGATCAATCGTCCATTCATAACGATCAATCACCTGACCCATGATCCCTGCGAAGATATTTCTGATCCGAGTCCCGCACCTACAGACAATACATAACAACAAGATGAAGACCCCTCATCTAACTCAACTGTACCAACATACCAATCTCCTGAGAATATCCTTGAGGTAACTACTCCTACTACACTTGTGAATTTATAGGATAAATCTATTGGATACCAATTACCTTTCAGGCATAATCGTAGAAAGCCACCAATTGTTATTCACATGATATTGGCAAGACTTCAAAGTATCCAATTGTGAATCATATATCCACTGAGAAGCTGTTTGAACCACTTAAGGCATTTGTGTATCAGTTGTCTGCTATTCATATCCCAACCAAAGTTGCTGAAGCATTTAAAGATCCTAAGTGGGTTCAAGCTATAAAGGAAGAGATGAAATCTCTTGAGAAGAATCAAACTTGGATACTGGAAACTTTACCACGAGGAAAAAAGACTGTCAGATGTAGATGGGTGTTTACCATAAAACACAATGTTGATGGACCTATTGAGCGATAAAATGCAAAACTTTTGGCGAAAGGGTACACACAGACTTATGGCGTAGATTATGAAGAAACTTTTGCCCCAGTTGCAAAATTGAACACAGTCAGAGTCTTATTGTCCCTCGTAACTAATTTAAACTAGCCACTACACCAGTTTGATGTAAAAAATGTCTTCCTATATGGAGAACTCACGGAGAAGGTATATATGGACATTCCACCTGGATATAATACTACTTAGACTGGAACAGTATGCAAATTACAAAAGGCGTTGTATGAACTGAAACTGTCACCATGTGCATGGTTTGGACGGTTCGACATGGCAATGAAGAACAATGGTTTTAGACAGAGTAACTTAGATCATACTTTGTTCTTGAAACATCAAAAAGGGAAGGTAACAGTTTTAATAATCTCTGTTGACGACATGATTATTACTGGGAATTATAAACATGAAATATCTCAGCTATAAGACTATTTGGCTACTAAATGTGAAATGAAGAATCCAGGTGGACTCAAATATTTCTTGAGGATTGAGGTGGCCCGATCACGACAAGGCATATTTCTCTTTCAAATGAAATATGTCTTGGACTTATTGACAGACACAGGAATGCTAGATTACAAGCTTGTAGACACTCTTATTGTTCAGAATCATCATTTTGGAGAATACTTGGATCAAGTTCCAACTAACAAAGAAAGATACCAAAGGTTAGTGGGAAGATTGATCTACTTGTCTCATACTAGGCTAGACATTGCTTATGTAGTGAGCTTCGTCAGTCAATTTATGCATTCTCTGAGTGAAGACCACATGAATGTAGTTATTCGAATACTTAGATATTTGAAGTATGCACCCAGAAAATGACTTATGTTCTCAAAACATGGTCATTTGAATATTGATGGTTGCACAGATGCAAATTGGGCAGGAAATATAACATATAGGACATTCACATCCAGTTACTTCACATTCGTGGGAGGTAATTTGGTTACTTGGAGAAGCAAGAAACATAAGGTGGTTGCCTTATCCAGTGCAGAAGCCGAGTTCATAGGTATGGCCAAAGGAATTTGCGAACTCATTTAGTTAAAGAGGTTGCTTACTGAACTTGGGTATAGACCTACATCTACAATGAATCTCTTTTGTGACAACAAGGCTGCAATAGCTATTGCACATAATCTAGTTCATCATGATCGCACCAAACATGTTGAGGTAGATCGACACTATATCAAATAGAAGCTCGAAGCTAAAGTGATTTAGTTTCCTTTCGTAAAGTCCGAAAATCAATTGGTGGATATTTTGACAAAAGCAATTTCTAGTAAAGCATTCCACAATTCATTGGACCAGTTGGCCATTGGTGACATCTATGCACCAATGTGAGGGGGAGTGTTGGCATGACTTGTAGACCATTGACTTTCTTTCCTTACACACCAAGAATTCCTATTATAATTATATTTAATTTACTTTAATTCCTGATTTCCTACTGTAAATAGAAATAGGAATTTATTATTTACTTGCCCATTCAGGTTTCGTTGTAATATAAATATGACCTCCTACAAGGAGAAGAATACACAGAAAATTCCCACAAACAAATATTCTCTCATAATTCTCATATTTTAGTATTTACTACTATACTAATTTGAGCGATATTGTTCACTTGCAATTAATCACATTAATATGTTCTATATGTTATGAATTACAATGCAATTGGTGATCATTTAAAAACCATGAACTGATAAGATGCATGCAATCTGAACTGCTTTGGCAGTATCATTTTGCATAACACCATTCTATGAACATGATCACCACAGTTGTCTTTTTATGCACTCAAAAACAGATTAGTGACAGTGGCGGATCTAGCCATTAGCAGCCCACCCAAAAATTTCAGAAAATAAAACATGTATGCAGCTCCCTAAACCTAAGACCCTAGAGGCATATGCATGAGAGAGAGAGAGAGAGAGAGAGAGAGAGAGAGAGAGAGAGAGAGAGTGTGTGAAGCCGACATGTAACCACTAATGCTCAAGCTTTATCACTCAGTTTTCAAGGCTAATATTCTTTTCTTCACAATTCCAGTATGATATTCACTTGGAGTTTAGTATGTAAATTTTGCCTGCTCGACTTCCGAGTCCTGGAACAACCAGTGACAGATATAGCATAAAACAAAACTGAATTGAAAACCTTTGTATATCCGTTTTAAGTATTCATGAGGTAGCTCTGATTAAAAACTGATGATATGATCTGTAAATAAAAGCGCTCACAATACCACAAGATCACTTAGATGTAAATCTGAAATGTTGATCTTTGATGAAGGCATGCATGCTTCAATGACAAGATCTTCCACAGTTCTCGATCTCCAAAGGCAGTCCAATCAATAGGACTATAGGGGCGAAAGCTGCAGTGTATATTCGAGAGTACAGGACCTACTATTTTATACCGTAAATGGTGTGTTCTTTGCAGATTTCTAATGCTCTTTACAGAAGTGAACGGTTGGACGTACTATTAATTTTATCTTCATAGCTTTACAGCTTGTTCATATCGTGTACTATTATAATACTAGTAGGATTGCTATAGCTCTTTGTTTAATCTGTTTTACACTCAATGAGCAACCATCAGTGTTGTTTATGAATTCTACTTCTGCTCTTGAGTTGTGTTCCACTAGGATGAGTGGAAGCCCTCATTTATGCTTCCAAGAATCCCAGACATACCCAATTTTGTCCACCATGATGGATCCAATGGTAAATTTTTCTTTTCTTTACCTAATGCTGAAGCTCATTATGAAGGTTACTTTTATTAACTATAATTTCTTTAATTTTTCCCAATATCTTAAATACGTATTTAAATAGTGAACCATGTACTTCACATAAGCTGAAGTTTTTCTCTACATTGATGGTATTTTTTGGAAGCCTTACATTGGTAGTTCTTACGTTTATTCGATCGCACAAATCTATATATGGTTATCATAAATTAAAAGAAGGGAGATTAACTAATATACCCAATATGAGAGTCTAAATTATAAAAATACCCCATATGAAATGAACTTTATAAACACACCCAAAACTCATTTACAACATAACAAAGAGGCTTTAACTTCTTATAAATTACAAAACTACCATAAATTTCTTAAAACAAGCTCAACCCCAAAATCTCATAAAAATACCCAAAACACTCAATAGGGTATTAAAGTAATTTAATAATCAATATTAAATTCAATAAGGCCAGCTATCATTTTTGGGGTTTTTTTTGGGTTTGTTTATAGAAGTTCAATGATGGAGGGTTTATCTATAATATTAGTGCTAAAAATGAGTATATCACTAAATATCTCTTAAAAGTAAGTCTATTATGATCAACTTAACATGCAAAACTTATTTTTTGGAAGCCTTACATTGGTAGTTCTTACGTTTATTCGATCACACAAATCTATATATGGTTATCCTAAATTAAAAGTGAGTCTATTATGATCAACTTAACATGCAAAACTTACTGACGATCACATGTAAAGTGTTAAAAATATTGCATAATTTACAAGTGGGTTAGGCCAGTTTGACTACGGCAATGAATCCATTTCCTAAAATTCAAATCCGAATCTTCCTCTCCATAAATTAGATTAATTTAGACTCTAGTTTGTATAATTGCACGTAATTGTCAGGACATCATTCATCTCATTTTAAGTTTGTTTGTACCATATCTGACCGACCACTCACGTCGTGACACGTGGAACACCCTCAAAGCCGAGACCAACTCAACCGGGCCATACCGAATGTTCATTCGGCACGCTGTACCGATTCAGGGGATTGATTATGCACCATCAGTCCCTTCCGCTAACCTTCGGTATGGTCTACCGAGCAACCAACCATCACGTCAATCCAATTCTGTCATATTACCTCAGAACTCCTGCCAGAACCTGTCAGAGCACATGTCGATGTCCGAAGACACTTCCACGAGTCCCACATCGAAACTAAGTGCTAAGAGCATCACAAATGCTCTCTATAAATAGAGCCCCTTGGCCCAACCAAGTGGTAAGATTTTCTGACTTGACTAGTGTTTCCACTGTTAATAGAATCGCTCTTAGTTATTAACTTTGGTATCAGAGTGCCTTCGGCAGGTACCACACCGGTATCCTCTCCTCAGTTCGGATCCAGCCCCCGCTCGAACCTTCGGACATCACGGAAGAAGGTCACCCCGGTCCTCACAAAGTTACTGTTAAATAATGCTCTTCTAATTACAGAGTCATAATATAATAACAGTAAACTGAAATTAACTATTATTTTAAATACAAAAATCCTCACGTGTTTTTCTCCAATTACTCTTTATTCCAAATTTTCTCTTTTTTCTCTCTATTTCCCCAGCAATGACGGGGTTACATGCATAACATACTGCAGTGAACCTATTTCCTAAAATCCCCCGCGTCTGAACGAGCTTAAAGTTAGAAGAGATAAATTTTACAAAAATATAAAGGAATTTATGATGACTTTTTTAGAGTGTCAACAACATTTCCGGTCTTAAAATTGCATTTATATATAATAAAAATTGATGTTTTGTGTTTGCAGATGGGAAAACCTATTTTAACAAATTAAACAACATCAAAATCTTAATTTTTGTTTATCCAAAGAGTGGCCTATGTTTACCGGTGAAATAAACGATGCCAAGTTTAAATAAACCTGCAAAACATGCATTGTTAACTTTTTTTCTTCTTGAGAATAAGATAACCATCATTAGATAGAATACGGAGGAGTTGCAGATGAGATATATTTTTGTAGATACAAACTAAACACTTTGTTTTCATAGAAGTATGCTGATGATGGATATGTACATAGAATGATGAAAAGTAGAAGACATATGTTGTCTAATAATGGACTGTTCTAAATAAGTGTTGTTTCTTTTTACATCTTTGGATCATATTCTTTGATGCACTCTGACATACAAACTAGATGAAATATGTGACAGAAAGAATCAGATTAAACTACTTGTTATCAAAACTCGAAGAGTATCACCAAAATGCAGCTTGTCTATTCCGGTGAAGCTTCCCTTTTCGTCGGCGACGTTTCCTCTTTGGCATCCTGTGATGGTGATGGTTCCTTTTTGGTATCTGGTGATGGTGATGGTTCCTTTTTGGTATAAGTAGTACTTCTCTTTATAAGATCTCCAAATCTTCGCAGCAACGCTTTCTTCTTCCTTGAGTTTTCAGCTTGAGTCCCATCTAGATGATCATAATCATCTGAATGGAGTGTTTCTCCATCATCTGTGAATGTAAAAGAAGAATTTCTCCGGTGATGTGTAGCTGAGCCTGGCGAATCTACCTCGAATATCGAGCCTTTGAGAGCCTCATCTATTTCAATCTCATGATCATCATCATCAACTTCCTCGTGCATGTTTGAAATTTTGAGCTCCTTGAGATTGAAACTAAAAACTTTGCCAAATAAGCCTCCATTTTGAGATGCTGTAGCCTCCTTATCATCCTTTGATGATGTTTTCTCTTTATCTTCCTTTTTGGCGTCCCCTGACAATGGTGGTTTCTCTTTACCAGCATCCTCCTTTTTTAACTCCTTCGGTGGTTTTTTCTCCTTGACCTCCTTCTTCACTTCCTTTGAAGATAGTTTCTCCTTAGCCTCCTTTTTCAACTCCTTATCCTTTGATGGTGTTTTCTCCTTCTCCTCTTTCTTACCCTCCTTTTCCTTCGATGCTGTTTTCTCTTTCTCCTCTTTCTTACCATCCTTTTCCTTTGATGGCGATTTCTCTTTCTCCTCCTTCTTCGACGATTCAATGAGCAACCGCTTTAACTCCTTAATGTTTTCATGAGCTGCAATTTCATTTACCCTATAATTTTCGTTTTCACGGGCAAGGAAATTCAAGGCATCCTCCTTTTGAGTCAGGGTATCTTTCAGCTGAGAATTTTCAGCTTGAGCAATGGCTGTAGCTCCTTTTGCAACATTTGCTTCATTTAAGGCCTGTTTAAGTATGTCTCGCAACTTGCTATTTTCTTCCTTTGATACCATGGCCCTGTTATCCGTCTCCAGAAGCAACTCATGCAATCTAAAGTTCTCTTGCTGTGCAGCATATCTATCTTCTTCAGCTCTTCTAATGCAATCAACAAAACCAGTTTCTTTCCCACTCCATGCCAAAACTGACTCCTCGTGTTCTATTTTCAACCTGGCAGAAGTATTTTTGTACCTCTCAGCTTCTTTCTTTGCTTCATCCAATAGTGCTTTATAACTTTCCTCACTGCTCTTTAACATTGAATTCAAGCATTCTTCTTGTGATCTTGAGTGCTCTAACTCTGCTTGGGTCACGCAGAGTTTATCTTTCAACTGGTTGGCTTCTGTTGCAACTTCTTTCAGTGCAAAAGCCAAGTCATCCATTGCCTTCTTTCCGTTTTCTTCAGCTTCTGCTGTCAACTTCAGTTCACGTTTAAGCACTCCCATCTCCTCAAGTAATTTCTGAGCCTTGGATGAAGCAAGTTGCTCCTTCTTTAGGGCATCAACCAGACTCTCCTTTGTTAGCTGAATCTCAGACTTTAGACTCTCTAATTCCTCCTTCTTGTAAAGATTATTTTCGAGGTGATCATGATAATGAGACATACTACGCTCTTGACTATTTTGAGCACATTCATCTTCCCCTTTCTCCAATTTGTTTTGAATCGAAGCAATCTCAAACTTTGCCTCTTCAAGCAAAACCTTGGTTTGTTGAAGTTGGTTTGTCTGGGTGATCAATGAATCAAGAATTCTTGCTTCTGATTGCTTTCTCTTCTCTATTTCCATCTCCAACTCCCGAATTCTCTCGTCATTTTCAGACAATAAAGCCTTCGTGTCAGCCTCAGAGGTTTCCACATTCTCTGCCAGTTTGAGCTCCAATTCCCGAATTATTCCTTCCCCTTCGGACAATAAAGCTTTGGTGTGAGCGTCAGAGGTTTTCACATTCTCTGCCAGTTTATGCTCCAATTCCTGAATTCTTCCTTCACTCTCAGACAATAAAGTCTTTGTGTGAGCCTCTGCCTCAGAGGACTTCATAACCTCTGCCAGTTTGAGCTCCAATTCCTGAATTCTTACTTCCCTTTCAGACAATAAAGCCTTCATGCGAGCCTCTGAGGTTTCCACCTTCTCTGCCAGTTTGAGCTCCAATTCCTGAATTCTTCCTTCCCTTTCAGACAATAAAGCCTTGGTGTGAGACTCTGAGGTTTCCACCTTCTCTGCCAGTTTGAGCTCCAATTCCTGAATTCTTCCTTCCCTTTCAGACAATAAAGCCTTGGTGTGAGGCTCGGAGGTTTCCACCTTCTCTGCCAGTTTGAGCTCCAAATCCCTAACTTTTTTTTCGCTTGCAAACAACAAAGCCTTTGTGTGAGCCTCTGCCTCAGAGGACTTCAAATTCTCTGCCAGTTTGACCTCCAATTCCCGAATTCTTTTTTTACTTTCAGCTAACAAGGCCTTTGTCTGAGCCTCGGAGGTTTTTGCATTATCTGCTTTGAGCTCCAATTCACGAATTCTTTCAGCGCCTTGAGACAGCAAAGTCTGTGTGTGAACCTCGGAGGTTTTCGCATTCTTTGCCAGTTTGAGCTCCGCATCTTTGGCCTTTCCAAGTTCAAGTTTCAAAGACTCAATATTCTCCTCTTTACTCTTCAAATCTTGCCTTGCATCAGACAATAAATCCTTCACCCAATTCAATTCCGAATGCACCCCATCTCCCTCCTGAGTTGACAATTCTTCACTAAGCCTCATGTTGGCCTCATCTGCCACCTTTTTCATCTCTCTCTGTTCATCAACTGCTCGATCTCTTTGTACCTCCATTGTCTGCAATTGCTCCTTCAGCTCCTCTTCAGGTTGCTCCATTATTTGTTGCTGCATCTCCGAAGCTCCAGCGATCTGTTTCTACCATGAACACACAAAACACCCATCACCAAACAAATTAAAATCCAATGCAAAAAAACCATCAAAGAAAAATATAAAAAATTGGCATGGTCAATCCAATCCCTTAGAATCCTTTAAAACAGTTATGAAGATGGATATTGACTTTGAAAAAGTTCCATGCGAATAAAAACCCTGTTCTCAATCAAAGCAAAAACTATGAAACGGGATCAATACCACATGCAAATTTGTAGCTTAGAGGGCTTTCTTGAGGACTTCGATGCAGAGCAGAGATGGTCTTGAATTTCATATGACCAAAGAAAGCTTCTTTGGTTGAATTTCAAAAGATCCAGATAAGAAAACCAGTAATATTTCACAGATTGAACGTCAAAGGCATGAATTAACGAATTAAGGAAGTTGAGAAAAGCAATGAAACAGTGGAGAAGAAAGAAAAAATGACAGAACCCAACAACGTTAAAAGCCCAGTGAATGAGATTAACACAAAAGAAAGATATAATTAATACAGAAAAAAAGCATTGGAATTTTCAAGGAAAAAGAAAAGTACCTTAGCCTCGGTCTGGAGGTGCCATGTTTGATTATGGTGAAGAACGTTGTTGGGACAGGGGATTTTCTATTTTGGGAAAGTCACTAACATGATTTTGGTGGAGAAGTCCGAGGTTGGCGGGTTTTCCACTGAAGGGAACCTATTTGGCGGGTGTTGGAAGGAAGCAATCTAATAAGTGGATTGATTGAATTTGACAAAATTGACATTCCACACATAATATTCCAAGTTTCCAACGGTCCAACCTATGACTGCCTCTGCCCCTGCCATAGTCGTTGGAGACTGTTGTGTTCAAAATTGCCAATCATCAACTCGGGCTTACACTGTTTTTGGGCCTGAAAATGAATTTACATTATTCACCTATCTTTGCAAGCTCCAAATTTAGCTAGGGCTGGCCTGTTCTTTCTTCTTCTTTTTTTCGACTTTTTTATATTTCTTCATCAATATCAGTACACCTGGTGGCAAAATTGAAGCATGCCAAAGCCTCAGGGCATTGAGCTTGCAGGACTTTCATTACAGAAGTTTAACATACATTTTACATGAAATGGTGGTGTTTGTGGGGCTGCTGTGGCTCTGCCCCTGGATAAAAACCAATGCATCCCATACTATAGGTCAATAAGAACAGCTCCACGGAACACCGATCTCTGCAAAATCATCCACTGCCATGTGTAGACTGATCCTTTTGAGCATCAAATGAATCTTATCAATATCTGGATGAGATATATCCCCTCCCAGGAAAATGTGCACCTTATTTCCAATCTCTGTCCAGCTGTGCGCATGTTGCTTCTTAACTCCATGCTCTTTCATCAGAGTTCTCAATCTTGCAACATCTCTCCACTTTCCGGCAGCTGCGTATATATTGGACAACAAAACATAAGGCCCAGAACTATGAGGATTTAGATCTAACATTTTCTTAGCAGCTAGTTCCCCTATTTGCACGTTTACATAAACACTGCAAGATGCAAGTAGAGAACCCCATATCCGACAGTCTACGTCAAATGGCATCTCTTGGATTATCTTGCAAGCCTTCTCTAACTGACCTGCTCGACTCAAAATATCAACCAAGCAAGCATAATGGTCCGATCTAGGGGCAATACCATAATTACTAACCATTGCCTCAAAAAAATCAATGCTTTCATTCACCTTCCCCGCATGAGCACAAGCAGATAACAGACTAAGAAATGTTATACCATCTGGCTGAAAGCCAAGCAACCCCATCTGGTTGAAAAAAGCAAGAGCTCTCTCGTAGAGACCATGCTGTGTAAATGCAGCAACAATGGTGTTCCATGAGACAAGGTCTGGACTCTCAATTTGTTTGAACGCTAACTCAGAATCAAGGATTGCACCACATTTGCTGTACATGGTAATCAAAGCATTACATATGGATAAATTTGATTCATATCCATGTTTGATAATGAGTACGTGAGTTTGTCTCCCTTCTTTAAGTAATGCAAGAGTAGAACAGGCGGTAAGAACCGAAACAAGGGTCCATTTATCTGGACGCAAACCAATCTTGAGCTTCTGTGAATGTAACTTCAAAGCTTCCTCTCCGCTGCCATTTTGTGTGTAGCCTGTAAATGGAAACAGGCATGTGAAGGGACTAGGGAAAGCTATCTCATACTCAGAATATTGTCAAGAACTATAGTACCATCAACAAGATTTTGTTTGATTTACTAAGTTCTGCAAGCACAAACAAGTTTAGGTTTTGGAAAATTAGAAGCACAGAAGAAAAAATTCAGCCAATTTTGAAGTGTAACCTTGTCAAGTTGTCATTTATGTCATGAGCACAAGTTCAGTTATCCACTAAGCAGTTAAAGGTTTCTTTTATGGATGAGTGAATTGCAGTTGGCATACCTGTTATCATTGCATTCCAGGAGACATGATCCTTACACTGAATTTGATCAAATAAAGTTCTCGCCTCCTCCATCTTCCCCTCCTTAGAGTACCCTGTGACCATAGCGGTCATTGCAATCACATTTTTCTCTGGCATCTGCTTGTACAATTCCCTTGCTTCATCAAACTTCCCATTCTCCACATACCCACTGATGAGCACGGTCCAAGAAACGGCATTCTTATTGGGCATGCAATCAAAAAGTGCTCTTGCCCCCTCTAGGTCTCCTTTCTTTGCATACCCATCAATCATTGCCGTATAAGAAATAACATTCCTCCTCGGCATCTCTTCAAAAAGCCTACTAGCTTCCTCCAGCCGATCATATTTCACATAACCTGATATCATAGCATTCCAAGAAGCAATATTTCTCTCCGGCATCGACCGAAAGTACCTGAAAGCCTCATCAACCATCTCATTTTCGAAACACCCGGCTATCATGGAATTCCAGGACACCACATTCCTAGCAGGCATCAATCCGAACAGTCTCTTTGATTCTCCAAAATACCCATTTTTCCGGTACCCGGTAACGATAGCATTCCACGTAACAACGTCTTTCGTGGGCATTTCATCAAACAATTGGCGGGCGGCTTCAATCTTACCCGCTCTTGATAAGGCACCAATCTTGAAGTTGCAAACATATACATCTTGGGTTGAGAAAAGCTTAAACTGTGGAGAAAGCAAGCAGCGGAAAATGTAACAAGCACCTGAAATGAGATTGGCAGGGACCGGAGTTCGAAGAATAAGTCGCATTATTAGCCCAAATATATATCAACATCATTACTTGTTGAAACCTCGTTACAGTGCAAGCAAAGCCAGCTACTATGTAGTCTCTACTCTAGATTTATGCTTATTTTCTCTTTCAGGGACTTAACCGGCCTAAGCAAACCCCAACATGTTCTTGTCTGGTGCTACGGAGTAACTAAAAGCCTCCACTTGTCTAAACTACCACCAAAAACGATGGCAGACAAACCATCACTTGTCCAGTGCTGCGGAGCGGGGCATCTGGCCTTTTGGGTCTCGTATATTGAGTTTTCACAAATATTATGTTGCCTTTAAACCATATTCAATATAAGCCTGTATTTATAGAAGAAAACGAACAAATCTCTTATAACCCTAAAACCAACATCAGATAACACAACACACAGAGCGAGACATTAACGGGGGCAGAGGCTCAAGACGCATTTGCTGTTTCAATGGCTAATGACAAAGTTGAACGCGGATAAACATTCATAAACAGCATCTTAACAATTTCAACGAATCATCAAATCATCCAGATAAACATAACAAATACAAACTTAGGACTAAATTAGATGAAATATTGTTCAATACCACATTAGTGAGGCTGCAGACAACCAAAATAACAGAAACACAATTAAGTGTGGACCAACAAATTGAAGGTTCCTCAATCTAAGAAACAAAACACCCAAAAGCACATCAATTCATAAGAGTGTTTGCCTATAAGGATATTCACTACAAGCTTGTACCTACCACCTATCTATCTGATCTGACTTAATAATAACAGTACCAAACAAAACACCTCCTTCCTTTCCCAATTAAGCATTTTACATATCAACCCCATCCATCTGCAGCCACCACACAACCAACCCCCCCCATCTTCATTGCAGAGGCAGGTCACTTAAGCCCGTTCACCCCTGATCCTCCTAGCCAGCTGGATATCCTTTGGCATGATGGTAACACGCTTGGCATGGATGGCACAAAGGTTGGTGTCCTCAAACAGACCCACAAGGTAAGCCTCAGCTGCCTCCTGCAGTGCGAGCACCGCATGGCTCTGGAAACGCAGATCAGTCTGCAAAAACACACTGATCAACACAGCATTCATGAACAGATCAACAACAATCTGACATAATTTTGGAAACAATAAATATACCTTGAAGTCTTGGGCAATTTCACGAACAAGCCTCTGGAATGGCAACTTCCTGATCAGGAGCTCAGTACTCTTCTGGTACTTACGAATTTCACTGCACAAACATTCCAAATAAAACAGAATTTAGACCACAGCCTATGGCCATAAAGACCAAAACTTGGAAAACTGTAAAAGAGATCAATCACTCACCGAAGAGCAACAGTACCAGGGCGGTATCTGTGGGGCTTCTTGACTCCTCCAGTGGTTGGTGCAGACTTACGGGCAGCCTATAACACAGAAAGAAAAAAAAATTAACAACTGCAAACAACCTACGACACAATTTCAAGAAAAGAAATTAGACCACTGCAAAGTTTACAAGCACCAACCTTGGTAGCGAGCTGCTTCCTTGGAGCCTTTCCTCCAGTTGACTTACGAGCAGTTTGCTTGGTACGGGCCATCTGAACACATAACAGAAAAGAAAATTAACATTTGTTCTAGCACACAATTAAACCTTTTGTTGGCGAAAATGTAAGACAACAGGAAAAGAAGTATTTCTTTTAGGAAATCATTTCAGAAACGTTAACAAAGATGGATATTGCCCAAATGATAGAAAAGTGAATATATAGAATCTGCATAAACCCAGTTCATAACATTCAGGTCTTTTCATAAACCCTGATTAAAAACTAAACTAAAATTCAGGAGCCCTAATTATTGACATCGAAATGGAATAACGACGCAAGATCATAAATCCTTACATGAAATACCATAAGCACCGGAAAATCCCAAATCTCTACAATGAAACACTCTAAACAACGCAAAACCCTAAATCTTTACATTGAAATACCATGAAAAAAGGGAGAAATCCTTAAATCCTAACTATGAAATGGAAAAGGCAACGGAAAACCCTAATCAAAATTATTTGCCATTACACCACCAAAAACCCTAAATCAAGATCACAGACAGAGGCAAGCTGAATAGGAACGAAAAGCAAACCCTTATTTACCTTCAGAAATAAATAAATAAAACTTTTGAAAAATTAAACGAAAGTCATACCTCTGTGTTCTTCGCGCTCTGTCTCTCTTTACTCTCTCTCTCTCTCTCTCTCTAAAGATTTGAACGTACAAGAGGCTAAGGAATATATATAGCGTGTGACTCAAAACGGTCTGGGGGATCGGACGGATGAGATCCACTATCCGTGTGTTTTCTCTTTGTGGTATCTAACGGTGATGGAGGGGCTTAGTTGTGTTTTCTCAGTTTAAGTGCACGGTCGCGATGTGTTGTTGCGGTGGTGACGCGGATCGCTACGGACTAACACAGGCTTCCTATTGGCCGTGGAAAACAACACTTGGTTTCAAATGGGAAACGAACCAAACGGAGGTTGCGTAATTGGGATGGTAAAACGTTATTACGGGAGAAATTTTTCATTTTTTTAAATCGTAATGCTTATGTGAACTTTACTCTTGAGCGTGCAAACAATTTTATTTTTATTTTTTTCTAATCAGATCTAGATTCTTAATTATGGATGGTTGCGGTTCGGTAATCGCAAATTTTTGCCTAAACTGCAAACCGACTGACTATTTGCAGTATGGTGATTTTTAAAACCGCAAAAAACGGTCAGTTACCGTGAATTAGTGGTTTAAAACCGCAAGTTCTTTTGGTATCATAAAAATCCAATCTTCCACATTTTAGGCCTAATTTTGATGCTTCTTTTGAACATTTTGATTTCAAGTATACTTTAACCTAAAAATATAAATTCACACCCTAAATAAATAAATTCACAACCTCAACTTCTCAAGCATATATAAATTCACAACCTCCTCAACTTCACAAGCATTCACAACCTAAATAAAATTAAAGTTACAATTCCAAGCATTTCAATTAAAGTTAAACTTCTCAAGCATTCACAGCCTAACTTCTCAAGCATTCCAATTCCAAATCTTTTAAAGTTACAAACCAAAAGGAAAATGCAATACAAAATGAATTAAAATTACAACCCAAAGGAAAAATCCAATTCAAAGTTAATTAAAGTTACAAACTAAAAGGAAAATGCAATGCACCAATGTTACAAATTAAAGTTATAAACTCAAGTGTTGGTGGTGATGAGTGGATTTGAAGGACTCCGTTGTGTTGTTTGAGCACCAATGCTATCTACAAAATGCAATTTTAAAAATATATATATATATATATAGTCGCGGTTTGCAGTAACCGCAAGTTTTGAAAATCAAATACCATAACCGCAACCGCAAATGCGGTTCGGTTCTTCATACCGTAAATGCAGTTCAGTTTCCCGCAATTGCGGTTCCATTACGGTAAATTATTGGTTGGTTTTTGCTGTTTTTCAATTTTTCGATATAAAATGCCACCCCAATTCTTAACCCATGCCATTAGATTTTTGGCTGAATTTTTATTTTATTTTTTTGTTAGAAAAAAGATGGCAGGAGTGTCACCTCTCCGAACCGAACACAGGTTAAGAAAAAGTTATCCCCAAGAGGTTCGTTACACATGCGGAGTATCAAACTCGGGACCTCATTAAGGAGCCCAATCACATTGGCCTGACATGTGTGGCCTAGCCCGTTCAATTTTCCACTAGACCAAACCCACTTGGGTAAAAAAAAATTTATTTAATAGATTCCTATACATTGAGTTTGAGAATTTACATGTAAAATCATGTGTTTGACATTTTCTATATGACAATTGATGAAAATAATTGATGAATTTTTTTTATTTTTTATTTTATACAAATGATATTGGGGGAGCAAGTCAAGTTCAATTTATATATTTTTATTTTTCAAGCATGCATTGTCAAGGTGCTAAGAGCACTTTCAGCGCGCAGGCCTAGCCCAGGCAAAAGGGGGCACGAGGCCCATTTTGTGATTCCAACCTCCAAATGCATCCTAGGCAAGGTGTGAGGCCGACCAACCTAGGCATGCCCACAGGCAAATCCAGCATGTGTTGCTGCCTGAGCAAGTGACGTAATGCTGATATCATAATGACGTCAGTAGCCAATTAAAATAATTTTATAAATTGAAAAAAAAACCCCAAAATTCAAATATATATATATATATAGCTAGCTAGCTATATTCTTTACTTCTCACACCAAAACCATAAACCCTATCAAAATTAATCATTTATGTATAAAAAATAAAATAATTTAAAGTGAATAGTAATTGTCATTTGCTGTGGCAATGGATGGAAACATACTTTGACTTTTGCAATGGTTGACACTATTCATATAAATAGTAACAGCCCTTGCCTTTCCCTTTCCCTTTGACATGGCAAATGGGTAGAAGTGCTCTAAAGGGATTTAAACTTGAGACCGTTAGTCCACAAGTCAAGTTCATTTTTCATTGGACTAGACCATGTTGGTAACTTGGCATAATTAGAGTCTTTTTTTTGGAACACAACAATGTTACATGTTGCAACCCTTTTCTCTTGCCTTCAACCCAAAGCAAGGCCCAAAAATCAGCTTGGGAGAGACCTACTGGTCAAATCCACACATCATTGAAGGGCAAATTTACAAAGACTAATTGTTGGATTGGAAAGTTGAGAACACAATTAGCAAAATCAATTTCTTCTAGGTAAAAGATCCACTAATGTAGTGGTTTGGAGTAATTGCACCCCACAAGCAAGCTCCTCGGTTCGAAAAATTATAGAATGGTACGGTATCACCACATAAAATGGTGATACTCTCATTCAAAATCTACCACTTGTCTATTTTTATTTTTAAAAGTTAAAACTAATTACAGCTGGACATGAAATTATACTTTTACCCTTTCAAATGAAATCTATAAAATAATAAATAAAAAAGAATGAGTTACCCAAACTATCTCCTTCACTCTTTCACTCTCTCTCTCTTCTTCCCTACATCTCTATGTCCTCTCTCGATAACATATGAGAAAACTTGAGACTTTTTAATTGAATATGCAGATCTCATTCAGTTGAATATGGCTTGCCCAAAAGCTGACTTGGGATCAATTGGAATAGCAAATCTCATTCTTCTAAATGAGAGAGAGAAACTGAGAGAGCATGGGCGATGGCCAGGGGAGGCAAAACTGGGTGCAATGGTTGGCATACAATATTCTAGTTTTTTCAATTTTTAATTATTTTTATTTTGAGGAAGATGAATAAATGGGCAGAATTTCAATGTGGAAATAAACAACAAATGTAAGATAAAGTAGTTGTTGGTACAGTAGAGAGAGATGGAAGGAGGATTAGAAACTCAGAGAGAGGGGGCGGCGAACGAGAACTGGTAATTTCAGTCGGGTGGGAATCTGGTGCAATTTTCTTCTTTGTGGTTTTTCTTTTATTAATTTTATTGTAAAGGGTAAAATTGGATGTGAGTCCTGCTGTATAAAAAAAATGTAGTTTTCTTTAAAAAGTCACAAGTGGCAGATTTTGAGTGAAAATATCATTATCTAACGTGATGATACCGTACCATTCTATAATTTCTTCTTGTGTTCAAATCCTATCATCCGTGTTATGTGTGAATTTAGTGTATTATTGCCCATTTCAATAGCAAAGGTCCTTAAAATAAAAAATCAATTTGTTCTATTGGGGTCAAAGGTAGCTAGAGTAGCGGGACTAATTCAACTAAAATAGCTGTTAAGGTTGTCTAATACGCTACTTTAGGAAATTTATCTAGTTGTTAAAGTTACTTACAAGCAAAAAAAGTCTTCTTGCACATTAATGTTAGTGTCAGTTAGCCCATGTTATGTTAGGGCTGCTCTCGGAGTTCACATTAACAACCAAACTGAAACTTGAAAGAAGCAAAAAGAACGTAAAGAACAAAGAAAGCCTTTTATACCAAGTCCCGCGGCAAAAATGAGCAATAGTAAAAACTAAAACAATACAAACCAAAAACTCAAATCGAATTCTAGAGTCAGTACCAGAGGCCTTCAATAAACTCCTCGGTACCTGTTTACATCTACCTAAGCTTCACCAAGAATGTAACGGTGCCGCCAAGAAAGGTTAGAAGAAAAAAAAAATTAAGGTCTCATTTCACTAGCTGATTTTCTTTTACAAAGGTATTGACAATTATATGTAATTTGAAAAAGCTCCAAAGTTTCACCTGGCAAAGTTCACACTGTACTATAATGATCATACAACGAAACCACCATACATCATCGAGAAACAACAGGGCTGCATGATCACGCTCAAACATTTTCTCTATATTTTTCGCTTATCAACCAGCATCTTCTCAAATCCAATAAGCCCAGTTGATTGATCTGTGCTGTGGTCAAACCGGATATATGAGACGTTAACCCCAGAAGATGCAATGCTATACTTACAATCTAGCTTTGAAATCTAATCAAGTAATCATGTGTCAACAAAGTGAAAAAAGTCAGAGACGCTGAGGTGCTTTGCAAGCCGGTGGACGGCAGACTGCACAACTTCAGAATCTGGAGAAACAGAAATGGGAAGAAGAGGTAGGCAAATCGGCAAATACTGCTCGCTATCTTCTGGAGGACAGAAGAATGAAAGCACAGCTCTGCAGAATATAAATCTGGAAGTAGGAGCATCATGTAAGCATTTCCACTATTTTAATTATACACCAGCAAATAAACAGAAACAGAACTCCAAGACAAATGCTATTATCTTGTTTCTCATTATTAAAGAAATTGCACAGCCCATTTCAAGTCACAGAATCGAGTAAGATATCGCTAAGCATAACATATTACGAATCCGTTGCTTTGTAGTCCCTTGCAAGGTGGAAAGAGGAGTACCTCAGAATAAGCCGCCGCAGAAATGGATCAGATATAACTTGTGCCCATACCAGATCCAGGCTTGTTGATGTACAAAGGATAACTTCCCACTCCGAGAAGGTAGCAGAGAGGATGCTTTCAGCATTGTTATAAACCTCCTAAAAGCAGAACAAATTAATTGGAACACCTAAAATACAATGGACTGTCAGGAAGTACTACAGGTCTTGCAACTAACTTACTGCTTCAGTATCAGAAGAGGAGAAGCCAACTAAGTGGCAGAATGCTGACAGAGGAGCAGTCAAGAAAAAGGTAAACTGACTTCCATTTTGCATTAAATCAGCATCAGCTGGGTTCTTGAATGCTGGTCTCAAAGGTGAAAGAAACAGAGCAGCTGTCTCTCCTCTTTCCGCACCATGTAAAACCTGAAATCATTCATAATCAGAACGTACGTAATTTCACTGACAAACCAGACTCAGAGGCAGATTGACTCAATATTGAACATCGGGCAATGAACAGACACCATGAGTTGTAGAAAGCTTCTCCGATTCCATCAAAATGGCCAAGCACCATGAAAAAAGTTGCATCTGGAGAAGTGCAACCTTTAGAAAGATTCAGAAGACACTGGCGCTCTTTTGAGTTTAGATACGAAAGACATATTTGAGCCTGAAGGGCTCCATTTTTGCTAGTGATAAATGTGCTTCCAATAACATTCAGTGGGTAAACTATTACTGGTTCCAGAAAGTGAGTAAGTTCCTCTCAACATGTCAAAACTTACTCCGGGATCAAACATATAGTGTAGAAACGGCACTGACCATATAGTGAAATTCAGATGATAACCATAAATGTCATTTATTCTTAAAGTTAGAAAAATGTGATTTAGAAACAACACTCTACTGTAAACAAAACACGGAACCTTGGAATTCATGCACAAGTTTTGACAAACCTGCCTTGAATGCATGGCTGTTGTCACTATCTATTATCAAGAAAAGAGGTCTCCGAGTGAAAGGAATTATGTCGCCAGGGTAGAGGTTACTCAAACCTGAAAATCCAAAAGAAGCAAATGAAAAGGTGGAACAATAACACAGGGTAGACAAGAGACATAATAAATGAGTTAACAGGTTACTGTGCACAAAAATGGTCACAATAAAACAAGACAGCACAATGATTCAATACAGGAACCTACCACCATTTCCTCTAGGGCCAAACCACAAATATTGGTCATAATAGCCACTTGACTCTCCCTTGTTGTTTATACAAGATTCAGGCATAGAATTATTCTGAGCTGGGAGAGGAACTTTATTTTTTGAGGATTTATGTGATCCTCCAGAGTTGTATGCCTGAGTAACATTATTACGACTAGCCTTCCCTGCACAATTTATCATCAAGTTCAATAATCTGGGATGACAAAGACATGATAAATGATGAGTTGATTTTTATCCTAAGAAACCAAAGTTAACCTGAGGCTGACAGATACACTAGCATAATACTGTCGAGAGGGAGCTCCTCGCATATTGTAGCCATCACCTGCCGATGCATCGTTTAAGCAATCAGCCTTACCAATAATACTTACATAATTAAGAAACAGAAAGAATAAATTAAAATACATGTATATTATAGATCGAAAATTTTAATACTGGCAAACAAGCAACTGTTATTTGATGGACTCACTCCATGTTGTTGCAATAAAGACATATTTACACCATTTTCTATTGCAGGTACATGAAAGAACAGTGAAACTGGCAATGCCCTTGTTCAAACAAAGTTATAATGAACCCCACATGATAAAGCAGAGCAAACAAATAAGTTACATACAAATATGCCACAGAAACTTTGTCAGAATCATGCAAATAAAATGCGTCTTTAAATTTATAGGCCATTTCACTGATAGAAGGACAGACCAACAGACCCAAAGGGCTGCATTGCTACATATGATGTGTGAAGAAAAAAAAAGGTTTGGAAACATCTGGAATCCAGCCCCAACATGGACAGGCTAAATTCAAAAAGAAAAAATGTGAAAAACTGGAGTTCATTCTGTAATTTTTTAAAGTTCCCTTTTGTTTTTTCTTTTTCTGCTTAAAAGTACTTTTTGTCAAACAAAAACCATCATCTTGCCAGGCAAATGAAAAATCAGGGGTTGGACCATCCATTGGCATTTCAACTAACAAAATAGGGACTAGTTGGACATGAAGGGTCGTGCTTAACTCTTTCTTCTTTCACCACAGAATTTAATCTTAACAAAGCAAAGGTTAAAACTGTATGTAATTAATTTTTCAAGCTCAAAGATTTTTAGTCTTTTATTCTTTTTAATTCTTTGAAGTTTCTTCACGAAATTAGAAGTTAGGAATTTGATCAAATTTCATGAATATTCCTTAAATCATACCTTAGCTTTTGTAATTTATCAAATAAAAACAAAATTACATTTTTTTTGTCTTGTGTCCTATTTTTTTCTGGATTCCATTGTCAGTTTGGTATAATTTTGAATGTTGCATGTCCAGGTTCATGCATCACACAACATGCGTTTCAAATTCCAAAAGTTCCAGAGACAGATCCCTCAGATAACAAATATGATAAAGATGGGATTAACACTAACCGCAATCAAATGTGTCACAGATGGACGGTAAATAACCGCTTTCCTTGGATTTGGAGGTAAAGTTGGATCAGTCATGTCCGCAGCCAAGTTCATATCGATTACTCCAGATGCGGCAGAAGCCCCGGAGTGATCAATAAAAGTGCCATTCCCTTTGGATTCCACTGCACGCTTTTGGTAGAAAGACCCGCTTGGCTCCCATTCCAAACATTGCAGCATTCGGTAAGTGTCCAATGTAAGTTCAGCAAATTTGACCTACATGTCACAGTACACAAACATTCACAAAAACTTTCCTAAGTGAGGGCTGTATCTACTATCAATTGTGAAATAAATTAAAATAAATAGCCAAAGATGCGGAAAAAAAAATTTATTGACCTCATTACGGTGATAGCTTGTCAGCAATGCATCTTGAAATTTTAAAACCCTCTTCGCATGGAAACGAGCCACATATGGAAGAGATGACGGATGTGAATCAAACAAGGCGGAGTATCGCAATGGCCTGACATTCATAAAGGCCGTATCAACTTTCATAAATCGAACAATTTCTTGCACCACTAGCCTCCATTCTTTAAAATTAGTTTCCTGAGAAGAGATAGCTCAAATGTCCAAATCATGCGCACCCATCGAAATAAGTACACAATAACTCATTTGAGGACACCTATTTCTAATTAACCACTTGAACTGAGACATGAACGAAAGTGTACATGCACATTAACTATTTGAACAGAGACATAAATGAATGCGCGCATATTTCATCAGTAAAAAATTGATTAACCTTGACATTTTACTTGCTTCAATTAAAGCATCGAAACAGAAAATAAATGGCATTCGGTGACTTAGAACTTCGCATTGCTTCACTCAACAACTTAGTAATTCAACAGACTATTGAACCTCACAAACTCACCCACCCCAAAAATTAACAGTCCCTGTGTCTCTATAAATTCCACCGACTCCACCTATGTGTGTCAGTCACTGTACCAACTGCCTAGCTCAACTAGAAGCACCATTCCTACATATAAAATGCGTTATCTAAGCCATGTATATCTAGGTATCATATATCACTATTTCGAGGCAAGTGCTTCCGGACAAGAATCAAACCACGATACTAAGTACACATCCATTGACTTCATTCTTGGATTGTCCTTGATTAGCTTCACTTCCATCTTTCTCCCCGATTAGAGTAAAGACAGGCTTATCATCCTTGGTATGCATGAGATGCTAAATTTAGTCTCAACTTCCTTATAAACTTAAAGGTTGATATTTAATTTCCAAGTCATCATACTTGATCTAAGCTTCAATTATATGCCATCAGAATTCACATATGTTAATGATTCAAACGGTAGTTAATATATGGATAAAATTGAAGAAAACTTGAAACCATTTATTTATCAGAGTTCTTATTTCTCTTGATCTGCCATCTCAACTGTGAATGCGCCTTTGACTAATCTATTTAAAATCACAAAAGCAACCAGCACATTACTATCACAAACAAAGTGACTTTCTAGTGGAGACTGAGCCATCAATAAGTTTCCCCATATCTCTCCCTCAACATGATGTAACTTTCAGACCCACCCAAGTCAGTGAGTTACCTCCCCCCCAGCGGAATCTCAGCTGGAGGTACCATTTCATTAAGGAATTTACATCTTCTCTTTAGTCAGTTTTCATAACATCATGGCAACACTTGACACTCGGATCTGATTTAGATAACAGGTCGTTTTCACTTAATATTATGACAATATTAAAATAAAAAAACCTATTTTTTCACCAAAAAATTATAATAATAATTGAAATCTTAACTTGAAATCAAAGACCCCATATCAAAACGGGAAATAAAATTCAGAAGTCCAATAATAAATCACTCAATTGATCCAATCACAGAAAAAAGCATAAAAAAATAAAAAAATTGTCACTTAATTTGAGAAAGCTTTTATCTTGTTAGTAGTACTTGTTGCTCTGTCTCTCCGAGTATAGAAGTAACTAAAAAATACCCGAAAATGTTAAGGACCAAGTCAACATACTCTTGTAACTTGTATGATTGATTGGTTCTCAGCAACCAAACAAATCCTAGTGCCGCTAAAAAAGAACGATGTGAATTACCCGATAATTGGCTTTGCAGTCATCAACAAGAGCCTTGAACCGCTCAGCGAGAAGTTGAACCATCTCGGTCCGGTTCAAAATCAACGAAACGAGCAAAAACCGGGCGTAGAACCTCAACTCCTTGAACCGAACGCCGAGATCCTTCTTCCCGAAAGCTTTGGAACTGGAATTGGACCCCTCAAAGTAGCTCCGGCTAAGAATGGCCTCGTAGAAGACGTAGGCCTCGACGAGGAACCTGGCCTCGCTGGTCCTCATGTACTGGCCGAAGTAGAGCTGGCCGATCCGGCTCGCGATCTCGCCGATTTCCCAGCGGTTCAGACCGGCCTCGATGAGCTTGGACCGTTTCTCCTGCTGGTACTTCCAGAGGCGCATGTAGGCCTTGAAGACCTTGTGGAAGTAGTGCTGGTTGTGGACACGTCCGTACGCTGGCACGTCGCGAACCCTAGCGAACTTCCGGTCCGCGCTCTCCACCAGCGCTCGGAAAGTCCCCGAAACGACATCGTTGTCGGACATGTGGCCAGTTAAAAGCAGCAGCAGCAGCCTTTGTTTCAGTAATTACGGCCCCCGGAGGTCATCGGAAAAGGTATAGTAGCTTTTATAGACCATAGACAGAGCAGAGAGAGAGAGAGAGAGAGAGAAGCCGAGAAGAAATGGCCTTTTCTGGGTTTTATATTTTTTGTGATTTTCTTTTCTTTTCTTTTTCTGGTTTGGGGATTTTGGTTTTGTTTGTTTTTGGTCACTGAATTTGTGAATTACAGTGGCGGCGTGGGAGATATTGGGTGATTTGATCCGTGACTTTTTTTTTCCCTTTTATTTTTTTCCTCTTTTTGTGTTAAATTTTGTCATTTGCAAACATGTGCAAAGTGTTCTCTCTGAGCTGACGACGAGTGATGTGAGAGAGAGAGAGAGAGAGAGAGAGAGAGAGAGAGAGATTTTCGAGAGCTGAAGGGATGGGTTTCATTTCCATGTGGTCCTGAGAGAAGTACGTTTCGCTTAGTTTTATTTATGACCGTTGGATGGTCTGTGCCCATCTCAGTCAATTCCAATCAAGCCTTCAAATATTATTAACCCAAAACAAATCCTACTTAAACCAAAATCCAAAGTTATCTGTCCTTCTCTTCAATTCACTATTCTTTGGGTCATTTGCCTAAAGACAAATTAGGGTGACACAAGTTGTAACCGGCTCAACACGAAAGGAAAATAACACAATTATAAATAAAATAAAATAAACACAAGTCATTCTATAGTTTGGTAAATACAATTACCTCCAAACCAGCTTCGTTTTTGTGTGGACATTAAGTGGATTTATCAGAATTGTAATGAGCAGACTGGTTTAATTTTGACCATCAAAATGTCAAACGGCCCGAAATTGAATCAAACCGTATTAGTTTGGTTCGGTTACGATTTTAGCCTTAATAAATCGTCCCCACATAATCAAATTGTTCATTCAATGAAGATGTTGACGAAAAGTTTACCCAAGACCAAAAAACCTAACCTACCTAAAAAAATAAGTAAAATAAAATAAAAAAATATTTTTTTATTTATTATTATTAAAAAAAAAAAAAAAAAAAAAAAAAAAAAAAAAAAAAAAAATATACTTACTCCATATACTCACCTCTATACTTCCATCTAAACTCATTAAACTCTAGAATTGTCTTCTCACATCTCTCATATCATTCAATTCTTTGGTTGATACTTTTGGGTAAGAGATATGAAAATGAATGTAGGAGTGGATTTTCCTAGTGAAAAGGTAAACCAAGCATTGTCATCTTTCATCACACTATCATAATTTTTTATTCACAATATTACCCAACCTCAAAATAAAAAAAATACGAAATACAAAGTCAAAGAGAAATATATGAATCAAATTTTGGCATAATTTATTCTCATAACTTTTTGAAACATTTCTCCAAGTATAAAAGTTTATTATGTCTTCTCCCATTGAGTTTGACTTCTTGTAATCTCTGACCAACCTTAATATATGACACATTGATATTCAAAGCAGCATGAAAACAAAATTTGATTCGTGGAACCAAGACATACGGCATTGTTAATGACTAATATTTGAATGTGGCTTTGGAAAATGTTATTTTTATGCAAAAGAAATATAATTTATAATTTGTTTTCAGATGAAAAAGGGGAAATCGAATCTATAATCTCGAGTGCAGAGATAAATGCTTTTAAAAATCACATGAGCTACAAACACCTTACAACTCATAATGTTCGTTTTAGTTAAATTGTGTATATATAATCATTCATAATAGGCAAGTGAAATTCTCTAATATATGGATCCAACAATTGGCACGAAGGATCGTTTGGTGACCAATGGAAGCATGCCGTGAGAAAATTTAAAAAAAAAATTATATACAATGTTTGTTTTATATTTCATTTTTGTACATAACATGTGATCCGTCATGAGATTATAAATTCTCACAAAAGAAAATTAATTTATATATCTAGTATTACTTGAAAGTTGATCTGGCATGTACTTGACTGCACAGCATTTTATACCATATTAATATATAATGATTATAACTATTTTATCATGGAAAAAAGTACATAAAACTGAGGTATTGAATATTATTATTATTATTATAAATATTTTACAATTATCTTAGGTCATGTCGTGCCACTTATAGTCGCGGTGTACATATATAATACACATAACCAAATGTGGTTTCACACCTTCACCACACCAAATTCAAATATAATTGAGTAGCAGGTTGCCTTTTAATTTTAAATTTTTTTAAATTTTTTTTCTGTTAATCCACAGGCTGTTTCCTGATGATTACACCATAATAAATTGGCTAATAATTGGACTTTCACTTTGGCTAATAATTTGGCCCTCAGGTCACTCCATTAATTTCTTTACCCTTTTCTTGTGTATATTTGTGCTGTCCATTTAATTATCCTTTTCTCTTCACTCAAGCTATGAGCCACATTGTTTTGTTCAATCTTTTGAGGGGACATTATCCTACCTACTCTGAAAATGAATATATATAAAAAGTAATATAAAAAATTCCTGCGAAGGATATACTTTTTATTTTTATTTTTATAGTCACAACAATTTCATTAATAAATGAACATTATATGATCATAGCCCCACAAAAAGCTCTTGCAAACAATGAAAGATACAAACAATAACCACAATTATTGCAAGACAATGAGCAAAAATAATTTTACATCTTGAAAACCCAACTCATTGGAAACTAAAAACATAAGAGAATTCATAAAGTCACTGCAACCGGTTCCGTAAGAAAATCATATTAAAGATGATAACTCTTTATCAATTTGGGAGTTGGGAATAGGAAACACGTACAAGTAGAAAAGCAAATCCCGCTCAACTTCCAGCAATCTCACAAACACCCCTAAACCCAAAGCACCAATTGATAGTAGATCTACAAAATCAACAGTTACACCCCTCAATACGGAGATTTGTGAAGGGAAAACTTAAGCATGACTTAATTGTGGTTTGCTGTCAAAGTTTTGGTTGTTCTTGTTCTCATTTAATAATTAGGACCACCCTTTATGTGACCTACCGCTGCATGGACCAGAAAGGGAGACTTAGTTGTTGAACAAACATAGAAATTCCACAAGTTGTTCATATGGGAGTACATTACAAAAGATCGAAAAGATTAACAAAAACAATCGTGTGTTTAATTTGATTAGTCTTCGTGTTCTTTTTTTTTCATTCTTAAATTTTCTTTTTATGTTATAGAAATATTTTTGCTCACCACTTTAACTTAAGGTATACTTTCAACACTTGACACGTGTCCATTGATATAACCATAATTAATCATTTGCTTTGTATTTATGGAACCATGATTATGTCAATAAACACGTGTCAAATATTAAAAAAATATAATGATAGTACATCTTGAATTAAAATGTTGAGCAAAAATACTCATATTTATCAATAATGTCGGTGACACTTTATGGAATTTATTAAAAAAAAATTATTTACTCAAATTCTCATGGAAAAGTTATTTGACGTGCGTCCGAAAAATCAAACCAAACAGAAAATATGGTCTAAAGTATCGTTGTCCCTCTGACGTGACCTTGCATTTAAACTTATTATAAGATGCTAAATATGTAAATAATATGTGGATCTATCTTCAACGATATATGTGCCTAGGTTGACTATCTTCATAAGCTATTTAGCTAGACTGCCCCATTTTGCTTTCATATGGGAGATTTCGAGTATAATATATATACAAGAATTTTCTTTTTAAATTCAAACTTAGAACATTTTTTAAGGTTAGGTAAGATATGGTTAGACTAATATACATGGCCTTTTTTTATAGATTAAAAATTGAAGTTTATTTGATCAAACATATAAAATGAGTACAAAAGAAAAAGATTATAAAGGGAGTCGTCCCAATAGCAGTACGGTGAACATGCGCAAAACTTTCCCTAGTGACTTGAGACAGCTAAAAAGCTGAAACGATTTAGAGAGAATCACTTCCAAAAAATAACTTTTCTAAAACTCTTATCTACCTCCATAGTTGCCTCGAATCTAGTCCAATTACATTAAGGACAAAACCAGCCGCTAACTGGCATGGCTCTCCTTAAAATACTATGAAACACAACAAACTCAACAAAGTTTTTAGAATTATGAAAGAAAAACAACACAAACAACTCATAGAGTTTTTGGACTTTATTGAACAAACTAAACCAAAACTAAAAAGTTAAAACAACGCCGGCAAAAGGAAAACCACATCGCCGCCAATTTCCTCTAGGACATGACATATAGAGCATCACCTAGTTACTCCAGGACCTCAACACACCAATAAGCAGCAGATCTAACCATGACCAAACTGTAACACCTCAAAGAGCAAATTCGCCAAGATTTGAGACAATAAATCTGCCAAAGGAAGAATAGATCGACATAAGTCCACCAAAAGACGAAGAACACAGATGATTCGACTCTATATATATATATATATATCTCTCTCTCTCTCTCTTAGCGACCAGGGTTTTAAAATATATTATATCATTAAAAAAAAACTTGGAAAAAGAGAGGACATCCAAAATAAAATATGCAGGGACCTCATAAACAAAGCATAAGTTGTTGTTTTGTCATAATTCATGGAAACTACTTGTCTCCTTCTAATGTAAGTACGAACTTCTATTTTCATGTCAATCATAGTTTGATATGTGTACATAAATTTTTATTTTTGCGTTTTTAATGAATTATTTTTGTATAAGTGTCAAACTATGATTTGTAGGAGGAATATATCCTTCTAATGGAGACAAACAATGTCCTTAATTCATAACATAGTATTTACTAAACATAGTTCTACTAATAGTATTGGATATGTATTTTTCTTTTCCAATCCCTCATGTCGTTTTTCTCTTTATTTCTATTATGGTAAGGCTCTTTACTTTGAATATGTAGTGAAATATTTTTAATTGACTTGTTAATTAGGTATCGTTGCTATTTTCACTAAGCTAACTACAACAACAACAATAGAATTCAGATTTCTAAATTAAAGTGGATTGGCGTGGTGTGT